CCATTCTGCCTGCAAGTTGTGCACGCTGAAATCTTTCGTTTCGCAGATCGTAAGGATTTGGAGGTTTTTGCAAGTTCATAAAGGTTTAATGAAGCGTTCGAAGGAATTGAGAGACTGATTATATGCATCGCAAAGGTCAAGATTTGTTTACGGTGTCTGAAGGTTGTAAACGTTATTAAAAAGTTTTCATTTGTTAAACATGTTCCGGATTGTTAAGCTGTGTTGAAGTTGCAGAAAAAGCAAATGTGCTTTGCAGCTGAGTTTGGCCGTGAGGTGCAGTGTGAATTATTGTTCAATTCGTTCAACCGTTCATTCGCCCTGACTGTTCGATCCACAAGAAGCTTGTGTAATCTTCAGCAACGTCAACACCTTCGAATGCGCGTGCCCCATGCAAACCAATCGTGTCAAACTGTAAGTACAACACTAGAAAGATCAATCGCACAAAACATCGAACCAAGTGAGACTGCATGACAGCCCGCGTTGACATCGTTCGGTTCCGCCTCAATGCACGTTGGCACCTGAGTATTCACTGCTGCATAGTCGCAGATTGAACAGCGATTGTCTCAGGCAGGGTATATCGACCACGCGAAAACTCGAGAAGCAGGAGGCTTGGGGATTGTATCATGTTGTCGTTGCATGCTTTGGCATATCAATGGTCGGCTGTTTGGAGTAAAGCGGTTTCCAGTTCGTATGACATTCTTTCCGGTAACTGCGGTGGCCGTATGCATGTGGTCGATTTGCAGAAACTGGGGGCCATCAGAACAAACATTAACGTGCACTTAATAATTGTTTCTCCTCTGCGTTGTGTTGGTTCTGCGATGTTTATGTGATGTCCCGGCATTACGTTTGTTCGAATTGGCTGTATGCCGTTGCAAGCAGCTGCATCGATTGCCCTTTGTTTCAGAGAGCGCGTCCAGGAGCGGAACCAGGAGCGGAGCCCCCTGCTCACATAGCACATCTCCGCAGCCTCCTGCTGGATGCAGAGGCCTGGCCTATCACGGCCTAGCGCGGCGGTAGCAGAGTCTACTTGCAGAGTTGGACATTAATTATACGGGCTGAGGTCCTGCGTGTCGTGTTTGGGCATGAGCAAGAACTATGATCGCTCGCTGCATCGTTCTGCAAAGGCCGAGTTGCGCAAACGGCGACAGCATCGGCTGGAGTTGGAAAGCAGCAAGGTGCTACGGTATGCGATTTGTCATGCTGTTGCACCCATGCTTGCCACAGGTTGTAGGGGGACATTGAGCATCAAGGGCATTCCGCTGCAGCTGGTAGTGCTTCAGCTCTGAATGCGACAGTCGGCTCACATGAATGTGCAATTGCGCGCAGTTCCTTTCCGGTGAACGTTCGGCGGACGTTGCCGACGTGCAACTACCTTGCGACCCTCCGGAGGACCTGGCAATGAAGGTGTGGGTGCCATGTTTATATGGCTTAGGCTGTTCTAGGTTGATCAAAGAAGGTTTCTTGTGAATGAAACACGGTTACAACACAATGCACATTTCAGGCCATGGCTGCCCATCACGAACCCCCTCCTGCAGTTCTACATCGGCCCCTTGCCGTTCTATAGCGTGAAGACGATCTGGAGAAGTAGCCTCGCAAAACAAGACCACGGGAAGAAAAGCTGTGCAATCCCACCAGGTTGGCCGTCGCAGTGATGCTGTTGCTGGAGGCTATGTCCCTTGTTTCCGTCATATCTTTTAGACGCAATGTTCCGCCAGGCACCGCTGCTGGTGGACCTGGGAGAGCATCCTTTGCCCTGGCGTGTGCCGTGGAGGAATCTACAGGTTCTTCTCCGCAAGCCATGTGAGGCGAGACTTGGCTCTGACCCTGATGTCAGCGAGATGTGCTGCAAGTATTGCAATCTCGGGGTAAACAGGGCATCAGGACCGGGTGTTACAAAAGCGCAGAATGCAAAACTGTTGGCCCCGGCATGTCCGACAATGGCCACCCTCCACCATGGAGACAACGATTTCAGACAGGAGACAGAATACCAGACAGGAAGGCTAAAGTATGAGCATGTAGTCATGCATTGTCATTCTGCTGTTGGATTGTCGCCATTCTAGACTCCCCACTCGTTAACTTTGTGCTCTGTTATTTCTTAGCTTCCCGGCTTTTTGGATTCCTTTTCGAACCAAGGTGGCGACAGATGGTTTGCCCGCCTTCATTGTTTGAGCTGTTCTACTTGAATGGGTTAAGGGGTTCACGCAGAGTGTCAGGAATGTCCAAGTCCGCCCTGGCAAGTCACGCGAAGTCTAAGATTTCTCCACCATCTCTGGGTTGGACCGGCCCCTGGACTACCGCCTGTGGCCTCTTGTTATGTTAACTCCACCACAACACTTTGTGCACGCATACATTCAATCGCCTAGACCACAAAAATCTTCGGTGCTGATGTGCTAGGGTTAAACTGGTGTGAATGTCGGCTGCAGCAACAACCCACTAGTCACTACATGTTGAAGGTTACCGCTCCCCTAACAGGGCCACACCGAATTAAGTCTTGTCAAGGACGTGACGAACTGTGATGTATGCTCCTAGCGTGGTGGTAAGTTGTTTGGTTTGCCTCCAGCTTGCCGGCAGGTAGGCTGACAGTGGGTGCAGTTTGTCCGCAGGCTACAGGCGCGGGGACAAGCACCGCCACGGCGGCATATGCTCCTATGGCTTCCATAGTGGCAGCCTTGCGCAGACAGCCGTTTGGGGAACGCTTGGCGAAGCATGTGCAGAGAATATTGGTCGGTGACACGCCTGTGACACGAGAAGAAATAGTTGAGACGGACAAGCTATGTGGCTGCCTTTATGACTGGGTGCAGAACTTGATCACGCCATTACTGACTCGTTCTGAATCCCGGGGCATGAAAGCAGACACATCTGTACAGGACGAAACTGTGTCACAGGATCATCGTGATCGGATTGTGGCGGCCGTGTCCGACCAGGAAAAGGAAGTGGCCCGGTTGCGACGCAAACTGCGCGAGGCCGAAAGATCGGAGCAGGCAGCAGCGCAGTTTGTCTCGGAAAATGAGCCAGCTGCTGCAAAACTGAAGGACAGCAAGAATGAGACAACCCAGAGTGAGTTGGAGGAGAATTTGGAAGTGACTGGACATAAGTCTCTTCAATACAGACTGGAAGAGGTCAATGTGCCTGCGATGCAAGAGGCTGTGTTGCACTCACTCGTGAAGACTCTTCTGGAGCCGCGTGCTGGCCAACGGCGTCGTTTAGAAATTATTGGTCATGCAGAGGATCGCGAGGTTGCCGAGACTGCAAAAGAAAGAGCAGAAGCAGCGGAAGCATGGCTGCTGAGCTGCGGCGTTCCTGCGGAGCGTCTTTCCGTGCACTGGGAAGCAGGTGGTTCAGCTATCTGTCGCCGCACAGATCTGAGAGTATTGGAGCCAGCAGGTGCGGAATCTGCAATGCGGCTAAAGGCTGCTGAGCTCATGAAGCGCATTTTTGCTGCGCGATCTGAGACAGACGACATAGGTTCGTCTCAACAGCTTGAGAACACTCCTATTGAAGAGCCAACTGAGAGCCACGATTCAATGGCACAGCCGAGTGTCACCTTGGAAGAAACCATGGATTCTGCAGCTCAGCGTCGACAACTTCGGCTGGTCTTTCAGAAGGCAAGGGCGTTGTGATACAAGTAGAAGCACCGTCAAATTCCGACATGGCTTTGCTGATCTTTGCTGTGTTTTTCAAGATGAGGACACGCTGACTCCAACAGACGCAGTGCTGGAGATTGGTTCTCGCACGGTCCGCTTGGGCAGTGCTTCTGGTGCATGGAAAGACTTGGAGGCCGGATCTACTAGGGATTTGCGGGGCCAAGGTGCGGTCAGGAATCGCTGACGCTCTGACAGGTCGCACTTCCATTTGATGTCATATCGCCAGATCAGCCTGCAGCCACTTCGCTGGACTTTATTATGCGAAGGCAAGTCACGATGCCATGGGATACAATGTACGTGTAGTCCTTCACAGCAGTTGTGACGACTTGTATTTCGTTTCTGTAACTGGCCTGGATCTTGCTGGGCCTCTGCGGGGGCGTTTGCACGTGTGGATTGGTGATGTCGATGTGGTGAATGAGTGTAAGTTGGCGGGCTGGTGAGGGGTGGGTGAGCGGGTTGGCGGGCGGAGCGGGTGGGCGGGTGGATGCACATGTGTGCGTCATATGAAAGCAGCCTTGGCTACGATGTCTCTGCACTGCTTGAGTGCTTTGTGCGGCTTGTGCAGGGATTGTTTCAGAAGCCTTTGAGCTCTTCGTGCCTGTTGTGCTACGCATCCGAGCTACCTGAGGCCAAGTTCTCAAGGAGAGCAGGCCGCGCAGAGCCTCGCATTTGCTCGCTTGTGATGCATGTCATGTGTTACAGACAGAGAGCTAGCTGCTAGCTGGCTTCGCATCAACCCGTTGGTGCTGTCAGAACTTATAAGTTTTGCATGGATTTGCTTCGGAGTTGTAAACTGCCACATCTCTTGACCCACGACTTTCCTCATCTGCTCGTCCTCTAGGGTTGGCAGTCCTGCAGGTACTTTGACAGTTCTCCTGGCAGCGGCTCTTTGATGATGCAAAGAGTGCGCTTTAGCAGCCGTTCTTCTGGGACTTCAGGACGTGATAGCATGCCTCGCCTCGGTGGAATCTGAGGTTGGAAGTATGGGCCCTAATATGCACCCTTGGGCCTTCAGAGATTCTAGGATTTTTTAGGGACCCTGAAGGGCACATCTAGGGTATACAGTATAGGCAGTATAGGTATATAAGGATCCCAGGCTTAAGGGCCCATACTAGGGGCCATAGTTTCGACCTTAGATGCAAGCATTGCACCAACGCACGTAATGCGAGCCATCAAGGGTTGATGGTCTGTTGTTGCCTCGTCAAAGTTTTGCTTTGGTGTGCAATGGCTCGAGAGGCATAGTGCCTGCTCCCCATGAACACGATGCAGATAATTCGCGGCAGCACATCCGAAGTAGATAGGGGCTCATCAATCAAGCCTCGAAACATGTAGCATTGACTTGACCCATGGACCTAGATGATGCTGGCCGACAGCCTCGTGCTGAGCAAGATTCTCCCACTGAAACCCGGCAGGCTCTAGACTCCAACATGAATCAAGCTCCAGGGCCCTCATCCCTAAGGTCGCGAGCGCGCAGAGATCATTGCAACAACCGGGCAAGCCCCGCGGGTTTACCAGGGTTGGACGGGACGGGACCCGGGCTTCACTTCACATCGGCAGACCCTCCCTGAGGCGATCACATCCGCGTCCTCGGGCTCAGAGGTTGTGGGCGCAGGCGAGTCGCAGGGATAAATCAAGGACCATCAAAGATCACAGTTGGGTTCAAAGTGACTTGGGATCGTGTTTTGCGGTTCCTAGGCTCTGAGGCAAGAGTTGAGAGAACGGAGGGAGGGAAGTGCAAAGCCGCACATAGCGAGATGAGGATGGGAAATCCCGTTCTGCAGCCCATCCTTGAAGAAGCACTGTGAATCCCAACTGATGCAACTGTCGCGGAGTGCAACGATCAAGGAAAGAAAGAAGCATGCAGCACCAGATAAACTTGACAAAACGTATTCAGATAGACACAGCATAGGGATGAAAAGAAAGCAACACCACTGTGTTGGCAGACAAAGCTCAAACCGAACAATCAACCCCAGAAGACGCCTTCGGCTACCTAAGTCCCTATCTCAACCGCTTTCGTCTGTCCTCCTCCCGACCACTCTCGTTCCTACTTAGCGCTGAAGTGTCTTGTAAATTCCGAGTTATTTCCGCGCGGTACTGTGCAAGTTTGGCGTTTGATCCCTGAGACTGTTGATGGAGGAAATCTTGCACCACTTTAAGTGGCCGAGCAAAGCAGAGACCCCGCGCCCCCTTTTTAATGTTGACTCTTGATCCTCTGAAGCGCCGTGGGTTCCAATGACAGAAATCTTGCACCACCTCGGTAGCCATCGTCGTCAATATTAAAAAGGGGGCGTGGGGTTATGCTCACGTGTCGTGTCACTTGATATTAAATAGGTGGTGCAAGATTTCCTCCATCAACCGGACCGGTGGTCTTCTGTTGTTCTCCGAGACAATTCGATCCTTCCGGCATAGTGCACATGCGTGCATGTTCATTGCCCGATGAAGGAGACGCTGTCCGATTGGTGGGCATGCTACGCCGACAAACTGGAAGGTGGCCAATGGCTCAATCTTGTATTTCCGCCGTAGGTGCTGCATCCATGAAGGCTTTCTGGACGTGGGGCTTCCCGAAACTTCCCGGGTTCTTCCTGCCTGGTAGGGCTTGAATGCCTTGCAAGTCTTTCAGCATCTGAATTTGTGAAATATTGTTCGTCTCTAGAGCTCGCGACCTGTCCGGATGGGGTTCTTTGGTTTGCTATGCGGGAGCACTGGTGGGGTGCTACCCATCGAATATGTGCGGATTTAGAATTCTGTGTAGGGGTTTCTTTTTCGTGCTGGTGGTCGGTTATTGGCAGTTATTGGTTGAGGTTCAGGCGTTGAACTGGTCCATCATTCTGCGCATTGCTCGTTGCCGTGATTAGAGTTGCAGAGCCGTTCTGTTCCACTCAATCGACTCAATCAGTTCCAGGGCAAGTGCTGGTGCGGAGGCGCTATTAACACCCATTGCAGCACTCGACTTTCGCTTGCCCGTGGGCAGGGATGGTCTAGAGCGTTTTTCTGCCAATTTGCGACATGAAAATCTCGTTTGAGCGCCGGCAATCTTTTTAAGATCGTCTGGATTTGGGGTGCCGCCCACAGGCTGCCCGTCTATGCCGCTTGAAGGAAGAAGTCTTCTGAGATTTGTAGGCAAGAGCTAGGATCCATTATGAAATCCAATTGTTCGTTTTGCGTTTCCGAAGTTGATTGAATCGCGCTCCGGCCCAAGTGCCATGAAATTGCCCCAGTGCCCTGTGCATTTTGGCTTTCAGGCGCTCGAAGTCGCCAGTCCTGGCAGGGCCATGGTGTTTGGCTCCCTGTGGTTCCTCGATGTGGTCTTGAAATCCCGTTGTGTTGGAATTTCCACAGTTACCAATAGTGCTATCTCGCTACAGAACAATTACAAGAAGCCGGTGGTTCGCAAATTTGATAACGATTCCACTTTATCTTTGCATATTATCCACGTGGGTGAGCTTGCGAGGTTTGCCTGACAGGTTGCACGGTCTGGCATCGCGAGTGTTGTTCCGAGGTGCGAGCCAAAGTGTGGCAGATGAAGGTGATGGACTCTGCCACGCATGTCCGCTCCTTGTGCAGACGCGGGGTGAGATTTCAATGCGCAGAAAGCCGTGCTTTGCAAATTCGCTCTTAGGTTCCACATTTCTTGGCTGTTTTATCTTCATTGCGCTGCTCGGCCTTTTGCAAGAGCATTTTTTGAGCAGCTTGAGTCACCTGGCTGCACTAACAAACTTGTTGATTGGGTTTTCACACATGGGAGGAGTAATTGCTTTGCAGGTGGACCCTGACTTCTAGTGCTGAGGTGAGACGTACCAGGCAACCTGGAACGACCTTGGATTGGCTGGAGTGGAGCGTTGTGTTGAGGAGATAGATGCAACAAAGAGCAACTTCTTCTTGGCCCCTGTCACCTGTCGTGCAGGTGCAGCTGCCACTTTTAAGTGCTGCATGGGGCGCCGCGGCTGTTCAGGCAGAAGCCTCTGCCTGTGGCTACGAGCGAAAATTACTCCTTTCCTTGAGATCAACTCGTGTTGCAGCGAGACGGAGCTGCCGCTTACTCTCACAGATGCGGTGCCGTTGCAGGTTTTCAGCTCGTGGCAACATGATGGTGCACAGCCTCGCAGTGTCCTCCTGGGCAACTTGTTAGGCTGGAAAGCTTTTGCCGAAGTGTGCCATCGACTCAATGCTGGTTTGTCATGCCATTTTGGCACTCAGCCATTCGCAGCTCTGCAGGCCATGAGGTGTGAGATGAAGTAGTATTGAACCGTCGGAGAGTGTAGAAAGACTTGAGGGAGCACTTCGCTGGACAGGTCATACCAGGGGATGCTACAACAAAATATCGCTAGGACCGCAACGATTGCATACCGCAATGCTCCATCGGCTGTGGATCTCGCTGCCCGTGCTGCAGCATGCTTTTGCCGAGCCAGGCGGCGACCGTAGGGTAAGTGCATCAGTGCCTCAGTCATGTCTTCTGAAGTTTAAGTTTCAATCCACAGCCGCCTGGTTCGTGCTGCTGCCTGTCGAGGTCTATCGAGCTGTCAGAGGTCCACTTCAGATGTCTATGTCACCAGGACAAAGATCTGGAAGCATACAGACTCTTCTCTCATGCTGTTTCACGAGCTTCCTTTTCTGGGACTGGTTTCTCCTGGGAGGGAACAGCTAAGGTTGGTGCGCAGAAATGTGGCGCAAAAACAGGCGACACAGTGAACTCCAACTTGGGAGTATGAGATTGACTTATTGCTGCACGGATAGGCCTCGAACTTGAATTTCACATGTAGGCGTATCAGCCGCGACGGCCGCAGCTTCACTTCTCAGCACAGTAGTGTCTTTACGAGGGTCCGCACGAGCCAGGCGGCTCCACCTTCATCCAGGCAGCTGCTTGGGCTACACGAGTATCACAGACAGAGATGGATTTCCTCCAGAAGGCCTGAAGGGGCGTAACTGACCAGATCCTGCTGCGAAAGAGGTAGTTCGCGCGGCTCAACGACGTGCCGAAAGCGAGCCCGACCCCACGCCGAACACGACTGAGGCGGGCCTGCTCTTCTTTTCAACCCATTTCCGTGTGGCATCCCACCCCTGACCCTGACGAGCTGCAGGGTGGCGCTCAGAATGGCACGGACCTCTGGTGGCCATGGCTGCCCTGGCCGACCACCACAGCACCCTTCACCACGGTATCGCCACCAGCACGGTCTGATGAAGGCCACTTTCACAGCCCTTCCAAAAAGACCCACGGAACCGAAGGGAGATCTGCTAAATAGATATACTCGTCTGGATGATCGGGGTGTCAGGCCGAAGGCTACAGATCATCAACCGGTGCAATCGGCCAATGATAATGCATCCAACTGGTGGCAACAGTGCCGCTTGGCGATCCTGCCTGCGTACTTCTCAGAGTTCGGACTGTTGTCAGACTATCCCTTGCGAATGACTGCACTGTATTTAATCCCTCGCCAAGGAGATCCCATGTGGTACTGGATGTCCCGGTGGCATGACGTGCAATCCGTACGACAGGCTGGGTCTATCAGCACAGTAACCTCGTGCTTTAGCTGACGGCAACATTTCGAGGTTCTGCTACTTCGACTTTCCCGAACCATCCGCAGGCAGATCCCAGGTTTCACATGATGGCACAAAACGCTGCCAAACCTTTGTGCTATCTGCGAGGATGGACGATTCAACCTGGAGCCACGGTGGAGCTCTACACTCCAAATGCGCTTCGGCTTTCATCTGCTCGATCCTGCCTGATGCTTCAGGATGATTCGAAGCTGTTCGAAGTCACACCAAGGTTGCTGTTCGCCAGGGCAACGGCGTGGGTTCCCCAGCTTGCCCCAGTTTGCTGTCATGACAGTGAGCGTGTAACGTGAAGGGATGAACCTGCTAGGTGGTCGCAGACTGGAGCGGCAAACTGGAGGCCTCGAGGGGAGTGCATCGGAAGCTGACGGCGCCATTGCCATTGCCCGGCCCTGAGTTCTACCCCAACGCCAGCATGGACATGGGGCCTCCGGCGTCAGCTCTCTGCAACGGACAAAGCAAGTGTCCGACGTACCAGGCTCTGGGAATGCAGATGTGTTACATGTGTAAGCACATGCTCCACTGCATGGCTCACTAGAACACGATTAGTCTCGCGTTTTGGTGCATGGTCAGGGACTGAACGGAGTTGCCACAGCCGTCGAGTTCACCTTCGTTCCACATGGTGCAGATTTCTATGATGTTTCGATCATCAACGGTTTTAACATTGGCATCGAGTGACTCGGCCAGGTTCTCGAAGATGCTTTGGCGATTGATTCGGTGCACATTGCGTGCGAAAGCACTGGTTGAGTCGAAAGCAGTTTGTGATGAATTCGCCTTCGTTCAGCTGCATCAAAGTCGGAGCTGGTCCTGCTATCTGGAGTATGGATAATATATGATAATATTGTGTCCGAGTTTGGACTTCGGGGTGCTGTTAGGGTACAGTAAGGGCACCTGCAACGGATTTTGGTGTCCCATGCAAGCACGGAAGCTCCTTGTCCTTGAGCGACGTGCACCGACTCGAGCCTTGTGCCAGGATGAAGCCTGACGGATCCTTCCGACCTGTTGTCCGCTCAGGCCCACTGAAGTCGGTGAGGGTGCTGTGATGGTGCTGCGATGGCTGCGAAATGCTGCGAAGGTGCCGACAGTAGGGGCTACAACTGCGGAGCAGCTGGAGCTCAGGCCCAAGCAGACAGGCGCCGCGTGCAGCCGTCACAGTAGGGTGGGGGGCAGCTTCTGATCTCAATTCGTCTTGCTTTCTGCAAAATGTAACGTGTGTGCCTCAAACGTGAAATTGTGACACGTCGGGCATGCAATAAACTAGCTACAGCCACTCTTGTCCTTCCAATGCTTGCCGAGGCCCTTTGACAGAATGCATTTGGAACATTTCGGAGCCATGCCTTGGGGGTCTTCAGTGACAGGGGTTCAGGTGACCTAGCTACAAGTCGCGCTATTGAGCGCTTTGGCAGGCGCTTGTCAACTTGCCCGTGGGAGTTCTCCAAGCGACTACAGGCGCTGGGACAAGCTGCTCGGCTCGCATGGGCTGAAGCAGTGCAGCCAGATCCAAGGACTTTACTGCTCTGAGTTCTCAGATGAAACAGCCTGTCCAGGCTGACATCAGTCCACTGCTTACGCAAGTCGATGGGGGATATGGCTACTGCCGGACGCATGGAGATTGCCAGGGGCAGGACATTGCCAGTCGACTGCACTGAACTTGTGGGATCTTGCCTTTGGTCAAGACTCTCTGCCCCTGTGAGCCGAATGGCAACTTGTGTGGTTGCCATCAGTTGGCTGCTTGCGGAAGGTATGTGGGCAGGTTGCAAAAACGGTTTGGGATTGGGTGGCGAGAGTGTATCGTCCGACGACACAGATTACAATGGAGAGACTTGCCTTGACAGATGTCGAGTGTAGCCCGGTGTGCAAGGGTCTGGCCATTCAAGCTTCAAGCCGAGGTGCGGCCATCGGATTGGCGTGTGGTCAGTCTACCAGCTTTGTGTCTGGAGTGGGAACACGTATCGCAGCCCTGCCCCCTTCGATGGACTGATCGATTGCCCTAGCATGCACTACATGTTTGCCTGTGCCTGGGACTGCGTTCGAGTCTCACCAGTGGACTCGGTCCAAGCAGCAGCAGCTGTCCGTGCAGATATGTGTGGATTGGGGGTGCGGAACGGTCTAAGGTGCTGGCCCCGCTCCCTGGACAACAACGTGCTACAATACTGCAACTTTCTTCAAGGTGGTTATGCAGTCTAGGTTGCCTGTAAAAGGCTTACTTTGTGTGCAACACTAAAGAGCTCAGGCACAACAGGTCTTTGCTGCTATGAAGCTCCACCTGCTCTGAGGTACCCGCTGGTGGTGAGTGCTGTGGATGTGCCAACTGGACAGAAGCACTGGGAATTCCTATACCGGAAGGTGGCAAAGGCAGGCTTCCCTGACTGAATGCAGTGCTCATTTTCTGCGATAGACAGCAGTACAGGCCTGTCAAGTTGCAGTGCTGCAGCAGCTGCTGCTGATTGACAGTCATTTTGTCAAGCGTGTTGCCTTGCTGATCAGGCTGCCAAGGAGCCAGTCAGACATGGCAGGTGACCGCTCAACCTTTCTACGAGATTCTGAAGGCGGGGGTTGAGGAGTTTTCGCTTGTGGGTGCAGGTGGGTAGCAGGCCGCTGTTCATAGTTTCCTTCTCTGTCGACCTTTCTGAATTTCTCTTGTTGCTATTCTGTGCTGAGTATCGTGTCAGAGGGCAGGATGTGCAGGGTGATGGCTGGACTATGCCAGAGAGTAGAGCTCCTGAGGCCGGCTGTCCGACGGCCTACACCTTCGCACCTTGGCAAGGATTGGCAAGGCCAGGGGAGACGTGTGCCCCTCGTGTCCAGCCCAGGCATTCGATGATGAGACCAGCACCTTCACGTGCCGAACTGCGGAGAGCCAGGAAGATGACACTATTCCCAACAGGGCGGGCTACAACATAACACTTTGCCCGACGGACCCGGACTTCGAGGAGCTGGGTGGAGGAGCTGACCAGGCGCACACTCCCGCCGCCGTGTTTCAGAGTCAAGAAACAGTGTTCGGCGACATGCGCTTGAACCCTGGCGTGCCACTTGCTGTGGCCACAGGTTTGCAGAGGCGAAGCTTGGTGGGACAACAACAATATGTACTTTGTCCTCTTTTCTGGCCAGACTCTGAGTCTCTTTCCTGCACTAATGCACTCCTGCGAATTCAGCTTGATAATCTGTGCTTCGTTTCTGTTCGCTCTGGGAAGTAAGTGGCTTTGTGCTTTGTGAAGTCGACTGTCAAGCTGGCTGCTCTCAGAGTGCGCTGTCGTCTGGAGCGCGCGGCAACACTGATCTGCTTTTCACTGCCTAGCTTTCTAGCTGATTCTGGCTTCATGTCTGGCTGTAGGTGAGTGCAAGATGAGATGCCGCGAGACAGATGGTTGCAAGGGCATTGAGTATGGCCCCTTTGGGCGGTGCGAGGCATCAGGGCTTCAAGAACTGGCTCTGCAGCGTTTACCACCTTACCACCTACTTCAACTCCTCCACGTGGACGTAGAGAGGACCTGCAGTAAAACAAAGTTTGCCTCCGCTATTGACCTCATCAAGTTTCCATGTAAACAAAGGGAAGGCATGGCATATCATGGCATAGAAGCAAATCCTAGGCATGCTGTGATCCTTGCCGGTCGGCACAGCCGGCATGAATTTCTCGTAGCTTTACTTCACATGCTCACTCTTTAAACGTGCATGCATTTGTTTGTGATTCGCCTGGCTCGAAAGGCTTGTTTCGTGAATCTGCGATTGTTTTGCGCTGCTGGAGCAGGTTTGGACACGGAGTGCTGGCATACAGTCGACCAGAACTCTGGCAGGCTACAAGTGCCTCCGCTACGAGTCTTGGCATCAAAAAAGCTCTTCCCGGGGTGGTGCACTACGGGAATCACAGGGTTTTGCTTAGTGTTGTGTTTGTTTTGCGTAGTGTGCTATGGCCATGGTGTGACTTTGGTGATAGCAAGCGCTATTTCGCTTGCAAAGCTTGCTTCCTGCAATCCAGCTCTGGTCTGCTACGTGTCTGCTTGGGTCTGGGCGTTGGGAGAGAAGGTTCGAGTTCGACTTCTGGCTCTGTGCAAGTCAAGCGACCATGTGGATCCTTTTAGTGTTGTGACTGTCCTCAGGTCCCATTCGAGTTTCAGCAAATGGGAACGGGCAAGGACGAAGCTTGTCGCGGGTGCTTCGTCCATCTTATGACAGTTTACATCTCGTACCGCCGGTGGCAGAGGATACCGCACAGGAATGAAGCTCTGTTTGCACCGTGTGGTGTTGAGCCAAGTTGACACAGGTGGTGTGCTTGTCTTCAGCTCTGATCAGGTTGACAGCACGCGACAGTTCAGAACACGATTACATACTCTATCAGAACGAGACGTTCAGCAGCTTGACATTCAAGGGCCTTACAAGGATGTTCCAACGTTTTGCACGGTTTGGGTCACATAGTTTCACCGAGGTGGCTGCCAACGACGCTGCCGCATTGCTTCGAATGTTTGCCAGGGCATCGACTTTGGCCCGGACGGCACATGCGAGGTATGGACTCACAGTGCAGGCAGCGGCAACCAAATCACGCGAGAAAGCATTCGAGCTGTCACTGAGCAGTCATACGCCAGTCGTCATTCCCCAGACTTTGTCTCTGTCTCGCTATTTCACTCTTCTTATTCTTTCCTTCTTCTGCCCAGTTACCGGCGTGTCCGCATCCTGCGGCATGCGCGAACCATTGTAAATTCTTACACCTCAGGTTCATGTTGGCCTCGACATGAAAGCCCTCCCGGTCGAGATTTCTCTCCTTTGTCGCCTCGCCTCTCAGTGGCTCTCGCTGTCTGCCCTCTCCTCTCGCCTCCGCCGGCTCCTCTCTCCTTCCTCTCCCCTCCGCCCTCCCCTCTCTGCCCTTCTCCCCGGCCTTGCCCTCCTTCTCGCCCTTCTCTCCATCCACTCGTTCTGTCTCTGCTCCTCCCTCCCTCTACTCTCCCTCTGTGATCCCGATGCTCTTGCTCACACTCCCTCAGTTTTGTCTTGCTCGTGCTCTCCCTTATCTCCCTGCCCGTCTGTTTGGTGCCCGTGAAGGGCCGGAGAGATGAGACAGTCTCGGTGTGCGAAGTATTGGGATTCTCACACTTGGATTGCGCCGATACCAGCAATTTCGACACTTGTACGACTCGCCGGGGACAGTGCTTACACCGAGAGAACTCACGATACTTACCATTGCGCTGAGAGGCGGTTCATGCTGTTATTGAAGCGATTGCCAATATTTGCCAATAGAAGGCGTTGGGCTTGAAGTGCCTCGATAATGGGACTGAGACTGCCAGTGATACGTGACCTGTGCATCGTTACGTTCACACCATGAATCCAAAACTCGCGACAGCAGTTTGGAACGGAGGCTAATTTTGCTGACGCTTTCGGACTTGTTTGCAACGAAGTCTCGTTTCTCAGGGTTCAGGGCGACGCAATCTTGCATTGCGTGATGTTCATGATTTTGCACGTATAAGGGGGTTCAGCTGAAACTGATAACCTGCCCACGTCTGAACCCTCGAAGTGCCAGAATACAACCGCGAACCGAGCCAACACAAGCACAAACTGAATTTACTTCCTGACGGAGAATCTTATAACTTTCTGTCCAGAATCATCAGAGGCCATCCGGTCATCTCTGGTGGACGAGCCAAGAATCAGAGCGAACCAGCAAGCCTTCCAAAGGTTTTTGTGCCTCTGGCAAAAACACGAACAAGGACCCATCATATCCATCATATCATAATATGATGATCGGTGGATTTCTGATGAGATCGCGCAGTGCAGGCATCCAAGCGACGGTTCCGGTGATGGGGCATTCTTGCTACATCTTTGCCCCATCCGACTTCGAGAGCGTGGGTGGGGAGAATCAGGCATGCCGCGGACGGACATGGTACGCGACTTCCCTGCATTCACAGACCGGTGGGGTTTCGGTAGTGACGGTTGGATCAACATGACTCAGTTCCAGGATAATTCGCCTTCGTACTACACCCACGTTCGAGACCAGACCCTCGACTCATGCAAGAGCCTCTGCAGAGGCATGGGGACCAGGCCAGCTGTTAGAGAGTGACGTGTGTTTGCAGGGGAGAAGGAGATTCCTGTTTCTCCGATTGTTCAGGTGCAAAGGAATCGAGTTCGGTCCTTTTGGAAGATGCGAGTTATGGACGCGTACGTCAGGAATTCAGTCCAGCAGGGCTCTGGATGGCTTTGCATGTTATCGACATGTGCCTCTATGATTTTCATTGGGAGAAGCACTGAATGGACATGGCGACATAGACCCTGCAACCTGGATCTCTGAAGTTTTCTTGTGGATCCAGGGTATGGTGCATGATTTCGATTCATGGTGGTACCTTGTAGCTAAGCAAGCCACCCGGTCTCCGGCTAGAAGGAAGCTGGCAAGTTTTGATACAGGTTCGGCGAAATGCCAAAGGGGGAGCTGGGGTGTGCAGCCTGAATTGTTTTTGTTCCAACTTTGGTTGTAATAGTGCGGTCGTGCTGTGTAGATCCTCGTTCCCAGCATCGTGCCAAGATGTACAGCTCGAGCAGGATGCATCTGGCAGATTTGGGTCCGGCCAGGAGCAGATCTCATCAGCTTTTCCTTCCGGTAGCTACTGTAAGATATGTTGAGCACACCTGTGCCTCCAAGCCGGGAGCATCCCGAACCTTCTGCCTGCGACTCAATTCTGGCGGCTGCAAAGCCTGCGGTTGAATTCGGCTCCGAGTGGAGCTGTGTCTAGGCTTGTCATCGTTCGGTTGCCGGCGCTCACTGCGAGTGTGTCGCTCTAGGCTGCTGGCTGGACATGTCCTGGAGACGTGTGTATACAGTGGCTCCATGTCTGGTAAATGGCATGTGGAGCATTTCGTACGACGGCCCGCGGCTTTCACGCCGCTCATGACTAGGTGTTCGGGTCAAGCTGACTGATCGATTGTGCAGAAGGAGGCCGTATCGCGCGGCATCGCCTGCCTGTGGCTGGTTTTCCACAAAGGATGTATTTGGACCATCTCCGACCTGCGCGCACTGCCTGCAACAAAGAAGTCATGCACTTTTACACGCGGTTCTGAGTGCCACAGCCAGCATGGCACAAGTGGCTTATAGGAAGCTTGATGGCTTGGTGGTTGTGCCGGATACTGGGCTGTCAATGTCACTTGATCAATCCTGTTCAGGCAGCTGTGCTGGACTCGTCAAGATCCTGCCTGTCAGCCTGGAGCTACAGGCGCGCCAGCATGTGCCCTGAGTGTCGTAGCGTGTCACCCCTGCACAATGCAGCAGACGTTCTCTCAAGCATCTTGTTCTGAGAGAGTACTACCGTACACAGCAGATGGGATGGGAATTCGGCGCGGTGGCTGGAAGGGGCTGGGCTGGGCTTGGCTGGGCTGGGCTGGGCTGGGGCTCCGTCAGTGGCCGTATCGCATATTTTATCCGTGCCATGTGAGACCTTGATGACTGCGTGTTCCACTGCGTATGTACTGTCACTGTTGGCCTCCGTTCTCTTTGCTCCGTGCCTTCCCTGCATGCGAGCCAGGCTGCCCTGGCGGTTGCAGCCACCATCGCCGCACAAGAGTTGAGCGGATCGGTTCATCCGGCAGGTCGCCGACCTGGAGCAGCTTTTCGAAGAGCTTTTGCTTTCTGTCGCAGGTGCTGCCAATGCAGTCATCTTCTTGGAGGTCGCGGACTTAAAGCAGCAAATCCCTGACCGTTTTCCGGGAAGTAACGGCGTTTGATGCGAGGCTCAGTCATGCTCATGGCCATCCTTTGCATGCATGTGCCTCGGCCAAGTCAGAAAGGTGTGTGACATGTTCATGCGAGAGCGAGCACAGCTCACAGTACATGCTCGTCTCGCACATGCGGTCGGCTCCTTCGTCAACTAGCCACAATTTGTTCAATCAGAGAAGTTCTCAACTGGAGCAGGTGCTTCCATCTCGTGTGCCAGTAGCCCATCTCATGAACCTCATGTCAACCGAAGCAATCGGTGCAGCACGCAGCGAAACGCTTTCGGATCGAGCATGTTGTGGTCTTGGCAGGTGTGCAAGTGCCGCGGTGCTCTTGGTTGCGGCTGAAACTCAGACTGCCGCAAGCGATGCAGGGACTGTCTATGACTGTCTGTTGAAGTCTGTTGAAGAAGATCTAGTTTTATGATGTTTTATGCAGAATCTGAGTTTGCATGTCTACTGACCGTGCCAGCTGGCTCAATGGTGCTGGCAGAGAATCCGTAATACGGTCGCCACCGAATGATCCGCCGCCGCCTCAAGTATGAAAACACCTTCCTGGTGGTCAAGGATGAGGTGAACATCCGTCGGGCGCAGAGTCATCCTCCGAAATTGACGTCGCAGGATTCAGATACCAGCCCTGTTCGAAGTCGTGAAGCAGCCAAGTACTATGTCAGCCTTCTGGAAGCCTTCATTTCCGATCCCGGGTCGAAGCTACCAGAGACCGCCGACTCGCCTCCGAAACGGGGTGAAAACGAGACCGAGAGGCCCAAGCAGCGGACACCGCCGTCTCAGCGCACAGCAGGCTGCTGTGCATATCGCTCGGCTGAAACATGCCGTGGAGTCAAAAGCCAATAGTAGTTTTCAGGTTCCAGATGTTCCAACGAAATCCTAATATGCAAGTTCAGACACTTCTGGGTGCCTTCTGGGTGTCTGGCAGGCATCAGCTGTGCTCATCGGGATCCCACCGAGCACTCGAAGTTGGACCGTGCTCAGCGACAGTTGCTGTGCTGCCTCGGGGAGGCCGGGCTTGGAACTGCAAAACCAAGATTTCCTCCTCTCTCTGCCTCTGTGTGTGCTTTTCGCTGGTTTATATGCAGCATGAATACAGAAGAGCGAAAGTCTGCAAAATCGGAGCACCACAACTTGTGAGCTTCAGTGCCTCAGTGTTGGTGGAAACATGACACGACCACAAGGCACGGCCTGCGGCGCATCACACAGTACAGCTCGCGAAATTTTAGCAGCAACAATGGACACTGTTGATGTTTCTTGTGTCAAATGTTTGAAGTAGGGGGCTTGACGTTTCAAGTTGTCGTCATAATACAACACACCTAATGTCTGCAGTTCTCGGAAAACGGGCCGAGCAAGTCTGCTTTTGAATATTCAAGATCCTCAACCAGCCCGTTTCCTTTCTTCCTGACCAAACCAGCAAGCCTGTGGTATTCCCCAACATACAGACGCCATGCCTCCGGTGTTATGGTTCAATCATGCTTCATGATGGTTGCTTGTGTGTCAAGAGCGGTTTTGTATGCCTGAGCTCAAAACAAAGAAGGTCTGAGGTTTGTCCGCGAACACGAAGAGACCTTCGACACTTGCTGTTGTAATTTCTCGCTTCCTTGTGAGGCCTTGTGTGCTTTCTTGCTTCGTATGTTCGGTCACCTATCTTACTTGAAAAGTTATCGTCTTGACTTCCTGCCGCTCTCTTTCTGCTTTCAGGTCCAACTGTTCACAGTTCGAGCCTGCCCAGCCCTGCACCGATTCCCCAACCTCAAGTTGAATACCAAAATTTTGACAGACCCTGCTTCACAGACCGATCTCGCACGGCATGCGTAGAAGCCGGAAGACATCTTCGATTGAGGCTGATCTGCTCAGCTACCTCATTCAGCACTTGCGTAGTCGAGCCACGCTGATGAGCAGCCCTCAGATGTTCATGATGCAGGGCACTGTTGCATGTGAGGATGGCTGAGGCTGAGCCACACCCATCCTACATGTTGCGCCAGTAGTAATGCCGAGGAAACTACCTCCCGCAGCAACGGAAGTTGTGCGACTTCTGGAGGCTGGATCCCCACGAGCTGGGCCTAGGAAAAGGCAGTGTCTTTTGACCTGATAGGGGCGCCTTGCCAGACTTCCTGTCTTGCCCAAGACAGCGGGTGCACAACCGAGTCTGGGCGAGAAGAGCAAGTCTGCCGGAACTGTGCCAGTTGAGCTTCAATGCTAGACTCGCAGATCCAACCAGCCATGAACCAAGGAACGTGGAGTTGCTCCGCAAGTCGTTTGAGCAGATGACTTTCATGCGACTCCTGGACTTTGTGCCCGCCCACTGTAAGGAGCCGCCGGTCTTGTGGACGTCACTGTTGGGGGGGGGGGGGGGCCAAGCGGCTGCGAAGAGAACTACAGAGTGACTGCTGACCACACCAACCGACAGACTCCTTCTGGGCCTAGACCAAAGTCTAGGCCTTGCTAGCTCTGGAGGAGACAGGGACCGAGACCTAGGAAATCTCCGGAAGCTGAAAAATTGATAAGTCCGCCATGCTAAAGCACGACGCTTCACGACGCTGGCCGGAAAGCATTGCTTTGCAGGAAAGAGCTACCAGCAGCGTACCACCTCAGACCCCTAAACTCGTGCAAGACGTGCCGAGACGTACAGTGGTGAGGCTGCGATAAACACTCTAGAGAGTTTACAACGTATCAAAACCATCTCCACTCTGCCGAAGATGTCTTGAGGCAGCAATGCGTACAGCAGAAATCGAGTTAGCCTCTGGCCTGGGATTTTCAAGACGAGGTGCGTCCGAGCCCCGAGCCGCAACTCTCGTCTTGGGTTGCTGGCGCTCGTCGAAGTCGTCCTGTGGCACCCGCAGAGTTTACTTCAAGTGGAACACCGGTCTTGTGAAATTAGATACACCTCCTGAGTGCTAAAAGGAGGCCATGTAGATGTGGATTTGAATGAATGTGCAAGCCTGGGACTTGAAACACACAGCATGAGTTCCTAATGTATGCAGCCAGGCACATTTACATAAATCGGTCTCGCGCTCACGGTAGCCGTGGCTAGCAAGTTCGACCCACCCAACCCACCCGTGCGAAGATGCTGAATGCGCAGAGCCTTTGGAGGGTGTCGCGGTTTTCATTTTCACATGCTGCAGAAGCATTTTGCGTGTAGGGTCCTGTAGATAAAATATGGGCCCACAAGAGCAAAGAGGACTGATCAAATCATCCAATTGTCCCTGAATTCTCTGTATCGCTGGCCGTGAAACAGACCTTGCCAAATCTTGCTGTTGAGACTTTAGGCTTCTCGACAGCCTGGTGGCGTCGTCAAGCAACCCATCAAATTTGCATGGAAGAATGGAAGCGACATTCTCGCGGCCTGGGGAACCGGGCGAGCTTTCATGTTATCTCGGATCCCCTTTAAGATTTTGTCCACCCGAGTTCCTTGTTGTTATGCTCATGCTCTCTGCGTGTATGCCCCTTCTGTTTTTGGCAGGATGCCGACGTCGAGGCGGCTGTCAGCGCACTTCGCCAAAGTAATGCAGTGCTGGGGTAGCAGTTATTCCTGTGGTCACAGAATCTGGATTTATTGCTGACGGCGATTATCATCGTTATCACTGAGAGTGGTTCGGCGACGAAAGACGGGGGCTGCGAATTTTGCATGAGGGTGTTGTCAAAGTTGTTGCTGGACTATAGAGTTGTCTTTGTCTATCTTGCAAGATCCGCAGTCCTATTCACTAATGCAGGAGAAGGCAGCACACTGCTGCCTTGTGATAAACCAGCAGGAGAAATCTGCTATCAATATTCTGATGTCGAGACGGAGCGGATGGCCTATCACGGCTGGGGGCCAGCCATGTCGAGAAATTGTCTTGACGGCAGGGAACCTTCACCGGCTTCTGTAAAGTGCAAGCACCCCGTTTCAGAGCTCCTGTTACGATCAGCTTTGAGCTGGCATGGCCAGTCGAAGCTTCGGATTCAGGTGAAAGCTTGGGTGCAAAAGTGGGCCGAATCAGCGACCATGAGAGATGTTTTTTTCAATTGCAGTGAGCCTCTGAAAAGCCGTCGTTTGTTTTGCTGAGGTTGCAGCTCTATTCAACAACACCTGCATGGACCGACTGTATCCGCAGGCAGCTAGACTTAGACAATGCTGTGGCTCTTGCATACGGCAAGCGGTGCCTGAAAACTTTCTGAGGTGCAGAGTCTGTCCCTGGCTGCACTGTCTGCTCTGGCCTTGTTTTTTTTTACGCCAGGCCTGGTGGTCATCACCGACCGTGGAGTCGGAGCCAGGCTGACATTGTTTCCCCTTGCAGAGCCTCACAGCTTGCGTAGATCCCTTCAGGATCTTCCCCAAAGCCTCCAGTGGGCTTCATCGTGGATGCTCCGCAGCAATGGTTCCAGACTTAGACTCTCCGGCAAGCTCCTATTATGATGTTGTGAGTGCTGGTATGCATGTGCTCTTGCCCCAACTGCAAAAGTACGTGCTACCTGGTCTTTCCGGATGAGCTAACAATTTGTTGCCCTGCAGCCGTGGGGCAACTGGCAGGAATACGATGACATATTCGAGTACTGTCTAATGGTGATAACAATCATGTCAATGTTAGTTCATGATACTGATGATAATAGTGGTAGTGGTAATGGTGATGGTCATGGTGGTGATGATGATGATGATGGTGATGATGGTAACGGCAGTGGCACAAAAATATGCTACCCTCCAAAACTACCTCCAACTTGAGATGACGGTATTGAAGACGGTATGCGTGCACTGAGTCGCTGAGTCGGGATTGGGTTCCAGTTGGCCAGAATCAGAGATCAGAGATGCCACGGGAAAGTTGGAGCATCTCTAACCCCTCATTCAGTACAGTTCGGTGCTTGTGCAGGGTACGGTACCAGACATGAGAACTGCTTACATTATGCATACAGTGTCCTGAAGGTTCATGTACCTATCTGGTAGTTGATCTAAAGCTCCTTGAGCAATAATTTATATGAGCGGCCAGCTGCATACCTAAATATGATTTTGCGAAAACTCTGCGATGGTGCCGCTAAAGTTATTTTATTTTACGAAAGTTATCTGTTTAGCGTACTTGCCGTATTATTACTATTGCTATTACTTTACAATTACAATTACTATTAACTGCACAAGTACGATTACTATGGCTACTACTAGTACTGTTATAAAAACTAATACTATTACTGTTAGTGCTACTTCTACTGTTATTAGTGCTGGTACGAGTACTAGTACTGGTACTATTACTAATACTACTACTGGTACTAGTACTGGTATCGTGAGTATTACGATTACTATGAAAGTTGCTACCGTCACCACTTACAGTATGCCACCACCTACCTACTACCCACACCCTTGTACGACCCTTTGCCGACGGCTACTACCTGTCACCTCTTACGTCCTGCCTACGATTGCTACTGCTCCGGTTCACGCTATGTGCAGTCCCTCGTAGCGCCATCGATCCTAAGTGCAAACAACGACAGACCCAAAAATTAGGTTCCTGTACAGGGTTTAGCGATGTTTAGCGCGTAAGTTCCGCGTAAGTTCCGTGTAAGTGACGAAGATCAAGGCCACCCGCCGATGGACATCGTCAGCAATCCAACCCCTAAGACCCCTAAGACAACCGTGAGCAGGTCTACAAAGGGCCTGAAGCCTGCGTCAATTATGCCACCACAATCTTTGCAATCGAGACCAAGAAAGTTTGTCAATGGTCTGAACCCTGAGACGGCTTCGTTAAAAAACTCCAACTCTTAAGACGGCCTTTACCAGCCCTTTCCAACCATTGTAGCTTTCGCGCAGCCCTGAAACCCCTAGGAAGCCTGCCAGAAGCTTTTTATTATAGTGCCCGTAACAACTTGTCATCGAGAATCTTTTAGCTTATAAGTGAGGGTTAATTTGCAAAGGTATGCAAATATGCCTTCGCGAAAGTTCCGCGATGGTGGCACGAAAGTTTCTTTTTCCTTCGTGAAGAAGATCATTCCGGGATGATGGAGTTTAGATCAACAACCCTTCGGTATTTTGTTCTTACAGTAACGTGTATACCTATGGACCAAGAGCTTTTGTGCCAAAGTTTGCAATCGTTTCTTTATGTATCACAAACACACCAGTAACTGCGATATGATGATACAACGTTATCACCACATTGCATGTAGCTTTATCGCATACAATTTGCTTGAAGCATCATACCCAGAGAGACTGCGGACTATAGCAAAAATGTGATATCTTTTTCGATTTGTACATGCAAACCCAAAATGATTTTCATCAATCACGGCTTCCAACAACTGCATCGATCTAAATAATTGGATTATTTTCTGTAGTATCTAAGTATTGTGCGCATTAGTGGCGCTGCATTTTGGGATGTTTTGTCCGCATATTGCGTTGTGAGTACATTGTACTCACATTTGCTGAGGAAAATCCCATAGCAATGAAACATCCCATAGCACAGTAACATAACTAGTGACTTGCTGAGTAAGTGGCGAACTTGTCAGAAAACGCGAATACTAAGTTACTTAAATACCAGACGAATATTTCGAATGCATACCTAAGTACTAGGCGTCTGTCATTGAAGCGGTACGTGCTCAAATAGTATACCCACACATATTATGTGCTTGGTACATAGAAATGCTCACAAATTTCCACTTGCCAATTAAATGAGATGGCAATTAGCTTGATGTTGCCACACGGATTCGCATGTCCTTACAACTGGGCCTGATTGACGGTGTTGAAATTGCATAAGAGGGTTTATTTTGCATTATGATCCCGAATCTCGCGCAATGGTAATAAGAGCTATCATAAAAGATATACTAGGTTGTGTCTTGATGCACTTAGCGCAAGTGTTTGTGCTTGGGTGATATCAAAAGACTTACAGGCAAAATGCAGTATGCTTGTTCGTGTTTGGATGGTGTGGGTTCTAGGCAATATATTCGGGAAATAACCCTGATGATACGGATCGCCATGACGGTTCTACCATACGGAAATATCGATGATAGGGAGCCATTTTTCGTTACTCAGTCTGATAATTTGTATTCGGAGTGATTCTTTGTGTTTGGAGTATAGAGCAAGTTCTATAGTAAAAGTTCAAGGGATTACGGAAGGGCTCTAGGGATTACGGGATTATTACGCGTAATCTCATGAGGTCAAAGGAAGAGAAGCTTCGAGGTAGGTTCTTAAGGGAGGCTAGCACGAAGCATTAATACGACGATGCAAATGGCGGATAAGATTACAGTTTGTTTATTTCACCCTGCATGCACGTGGCGAATGTGTCGTGGGACATGCGTGAACGCGTCGAAGTATGAATGTATGCATGTTGTGTGCAGTTCTTGATAGTGTCGCCTGTGTGATTTTGCAAATACGCCCGAGTTTACCTGCCTGTGCCGCCTGCCTCTCTCCCTCTCTCTCTCTCTCTTTCAATTGCTGTCTGCTTATGTGCGGCCGTCTGTTTTGCGCAAGCGTGTCTCTCCATCTTCCTATCGATGCCTTAAGCCGAGCAGGCATTGGTGTCGGTATGAACATGTGCATGCACATGCACGGGTATGCTTGTTCGTTGTTGTGCTTAGGTATACTTTGCAGATGTGTAGAATCATTCTCTCAGCCCGTCGTGAGCCGTCCCCGCCCAAACGAACACTTTCTTAAAACTCTGATGTAGTGGCCCTGCTACCTTCCTGCTCAGACAAGGAGGGAACATTCTTGTGCCACGAGGTTGTCGCTGTCACTGCATGTGCGAGCCAGGGTGTTTTTGTGAATGCTACCTGTTCGCAATCTGCAATTCTCCCGATTGTCACGTCTAGTGCTAACTCGTGCTGTTCCGTATGCACGGCTGGCCTCCTGGCCTTCGGGACTGTGTCCCCTTCACGGTGCTTCACACAGCCAGATGCCCTTTCTGCCGATTGTGTCTTGCATCGACTCGTCTTCGAGCTTGGGCAGCCTTGCTCAGGCTGCCAACCTACCTGCTGAAGCTTCGAGGGGCTGGTAATCGTGGCCCAGCGCCAGTTTCGTACGCTCACACTTGCTTCAGCCCAGCTCCCAGCGCTGTAGACTGTGTGGCTTCAGTATACCCAGAATTTTGTCATGGGTGTGGTCAGGCTCCCTGGCGGCTTTTGCTTACATGCTGTGGCCCGCATGCAAGAAGACGGCTGTGAATGGGCATGCCAGCAAATGGGGCTGAAAAGCCGTGACAGGTGTGAGGTATGAAGCATGATTGAGAGAGACCACGCTTGTACCTGTGTTGTTGTCAGATGAGTCAGGAGAGACAGGGCACGGCAGCAGGGCATGCATGACCAGGGCATAGGCTTTGTTGCTCTCTGTGTGCGCCCGACTGTCCTTGCTGCTCAGTCTGCAACAAACGAACGGAATCGGCAACGTGTCGCAATGGTGCCGCGCACGGTGACTGATTTGCTCGCAGGAGCGCCGGAGGCGCTTCCGCCAATAGTCGCCTTCGTCTGAAAACATCGGACGTGGCTCCTCTGCCAGTTGATGTACGGCTGCGACGAACCGCCGAGATATCCCAAGGAACGCCGGGAAAGCTCGGACGAGACAATCAGACGTGGGGACATGCCGCGATAGCCGACGTAGCAGAGCTGTGGACGAGTGGACGATCCACCTGTCCTGTGAGCGTTACGACTCTCTCTCTCTGACTCTCTCTCGCTCGCTCGCTCGCTCGCTCGCTCTCTCTCTCTCTCTCTCTCTCTCTCTCTCTCTCTCTGGTAATTGCTTTTGGGTGTGTCACCGTAGCAACACGGAGGAGGGAAGAGCTAGAGCGGCGTTCGGTGTGCCTACGAGAAAGGGATACGTGAAGGTCATGGTTTTTGCCTCTGGCAAGTCTGGGTGTGGTGCCTTCATGTTTGCTTCCACTGTGGAAGTGGATTCAACGGTGTCTAGGTCGGTGGCTTCGCTCAATGATTTATTGGGCTGGACTCCGGCAGCGCTCCTTGGCCGAAACGCCTTTTTGCTGTAGCTCGCAAGATGCAGCATGGATATCGGCAGGTGCGATCCCAATCCTGCGAGGATCACAAGGTGATTTCAGGTCAAGTCGGTGTGAGGAGTCTATCTGCTGCAAGGATCCCGGCAGACAAACCGAACTTGTTCCCAAGGTTAGTCGGACCAGCGGCAGCCTCTGTGTCGGTCTTCAGCGACTGGCGAGGTCGGAGAGTGCCCTTCGGTCCGAGTCTTGACTTTGCCGCACTGCCCCGCTTTGCCCTTTCATAACCGTCAGGCGCCAGCTCGCAGCCCTGGCCCTGCGTCGTCGGCTGCGTGCTGGGCGCTGCCTCCGGATCGCTCTTCCTCCTCGAAGCGAGCGAGGCGAATGCGCAAGTGCCCTGCGTTGCAAAAAAATAGCGGTCCATACCTAGGCCTAGGCTTCTTTGCGAAGGGCTCCCGTGTCTGCATCTCTGCCAGGGCGGCTCTGCTTTCGCTGGGCACTTGCGTCTTGGCATCGGGAAGACTGCTTTGCTGCATCGTCCCGTGCAGCTCTGCACTTGCGCTCACCGTCAGAGGTGGATGCCAGCTGCCATGGCTGTGGCCTTCTCTGCAGCACTTCAAGAGCTCGCTTTTGCCAAGATCCCTGCAGGCTTTTCCACTGCCCCGTGCTGTTGTGCTGAAGTCTCAAAAGTGTGCAGGCGGCTCTATCGCCTTGAGCATCATCGCGCCGGGCTCAGGTCCTTTTGAGCTCTAGGAAACACAGCCCTGGGGCGGCTCTGGCTTAGGGGATCCTTCGCTCGGCATGCAAGGCGAAGCAGTGGCAAAAACAAGTATGTGATGGATGATGAGACCAAAGACTGGTCCTGCGTGCCCCATGCACGTAACCAGAGAAATCCTGTGCCAGCTGCATGTCCGGCAGGCTACAATCGACTGTTGAATGGTGTATACCCAGTATACTCAAAACACTTGTGGCCACAGGAGCTACGCGTTGTGTCCGCATGTGTCCACCAAAGTTTCGGATGGCACTGGGCAATGCAACACAACTTAACTCACAAATCGAAGCAGGCATCAACAGACTTGATTGTAGTGTTTGCCAGAGTACTGTCCTGCATGTTTTCTGGATGTGGACATAGGAGTGGGAATTCAGTGGAGGAGGCAATTTCTGGAGTTAAGCAAGGTGATGCCAGAAGCTCGCAGACTGGGCTGGAGCTTCGTCCTACAGCCTGGTGTGCTCAGTGCCGTGCCTACAGGTCTCAAGTTTGGGTGAAAGCTTGAAACAGGCAATAGTTGAGAGAGTTAGAGCTCCCAGCTCAAGTCAGGCACATGCCTCCTCGTGATCTACGGAGCGTTGCTGAACAACCTGCAGGAAACAAGGTGACGTCTCTTGAGCTGTCCGCAGTGCTGGCTGATTCTATTTGTTTGCTGACCCATGGAAGTGGGGCTTTGAGCCTCCAGGCTCTATCCTCGTCATTGGCCGTGGCAGCGTGCTACTCCCGGATTGCCCCAGCAAGGCACGGCTGAGCTTTCAGTACATTTTGTCCATCACGGCTCCGTCTTGGCACTATTTAGTACCCTTGTTGGTGCCCTCAGACAAAGCCTGGATTCTTGAAAGCAGCTCGCCGGTGCAGGATATTCCGAAAGGGTTCTGCAGAGGCATCGTTCTGAAGTTGAGAAGACACCCTTCAGCGCGCTCGCCAAGACCAACGTGGGTTTGCTGATGGTAGCTTGCCGGCACTGCAGAATCACAATCAGATAAGTAGGCATTGGTTTACCAAATTTACCATGGTTTGTCCCGAGGTCCTTTCGCAGCCACCCGGCATCGTGAAGCGAAACACGCTTAATTGTGCGAGATACGTGGGTTTTGCATCAAAGCTCTGCAACAGAACAAATTTCAGGATTATTTTCCTGATATTTCTCATGTTTGCCGAACTCGACAAGACGTCCGTGGATGTGGTGGAGAAATTTGACCACGTTGCTCTGACCTTGGATGCTTAGATTTGAGGGGTTGGGGGCTGTAGACAGAAGAGAGAGCAAGCTCCCGTCCAGCTAGAGCAGCTAAAGTCCAGAGCCAATGAGCTGCGAGGCTGGGCTGTCCTTGCTGACCGTGGTCGGTCTTGGCTTCATGAGGGCCTTCGCCAAAGCGTTGCTTGCCTGTCGCGAGCTTGCGTTCCGTGCAGTCGGACGGCTGTTTGTTTGCAGCCCAGGCATGGCTTAGGAGCCGTCGCTTTCTGCCTGGTGATCACGTCCTTAGCCATACAGTGGTCCATGGTGCTGGAAAGTCTCCTCAACCAGACAGTGTTGAGCATTGGCTTAGACTCGCTTTCGTGTCTCGGCCGGTGCATGAGCATGTCCTCAAGAAGCTGAACGGCTGTCACTCCGTGTGGGTCACATAAGGTCCGGGTATTTTGCTGGCGCGACTGCACTTGTCTCCTTTGGAGCATTGATTGGCAAGGCCTGCTGCTGACAAGATGGGGTCTATGCTCAGAGTGCATGCGCGTCCGAGTCTACTTAAGTTTCCCTTTTGCAGTCGGCAGAAGGAGCGACTCCAGTCCAAAATGGCGAAAATAGTTCGCAAGGTTAACAGAGTCAACGCACAGCTTGGCAGGTGTCGGGACACATGCGGATGTTAGTTCTGACCGCAACAGACTGTCCGTTTTGATTTACAGGTCAGCCTCCGGCAAATCTTCATGGTTTTGCTGATAGAGTGACTCGCTTGAACTCAGCACGGATGTTGCGCCTGCCTAGCTCTCTACTCAACTCCGTTTCGGGTGCAGCAAAGGGGGAATGCTGTTTCGTTGGAGTTCTTAAGTTTGCAGGTTACCATGCTACTGCTGGACCAGAAATGGTGGGCTCTCGAGGGACCGCGTGCCACACGCTCCTCAGTGAAAGATTTGAGCTCAGATCTAGCCGCACGTACCTCTGGCTGCCATCATTTTCGCATCAGGCGCAGCTGCTGCTTGCTCCCAAAGCAAGCTCCTTGCTGCAGGCGCATCCTGATGGCCTTGAGGGCCTTCAGATTCATCTCTTCGGAGCTTTGTTCGGCTACTCGGCAGCGTGCCTACTGGGCCCCTTCGAGATGGACTGGCTGCACCAGGGCAGCTATGGTCTGGACACCGCAGGGTGCATTTAGCCTGTTGACTGCAAGGGCGGCTCTCTCTAGACCACCGTCAACGATGGCATGTGACAGGACCTGGTCTCTCTGTTGGGCACCCTCTGCTTCTGGATCTGCTTTCCGAGCATCGGCTACGGCTCCCGGACGCAGCATGCACACATCATCGTCGTCTTGGCACTGCTGCTCAGACACAAGGAGCCCAGAGATTCGTTCAAACTTCACGGCCTGATTTTCGTGATAAGGCTGGGCTCCACAGTTGCAGCCTTCGTTGCGGACTCGCTCTGCGATTCTGGAAAGCTGAGCGTCGCATGCATCCGCACAGCGGTCCTTGCCGGAGGTGCGTCATTCATCGGGGATGCAACTCCCCGAATCGAAATGTACATGGCATGTGGAGTTCTGAAGTCGGATGGATTAGTTCGGACCGAGACCCCTCCCGGATGCTCAACGAGGTACCTGGAGTTGCAACTGACTTGAGCGATGCATGCAGGCATCGCAATTTCTGCAGTGGCGGAGACGGTGGATCCCGGACTTGCAGTGATGGTTGCTCGGTCGGTGGTGTCACAGTGATAGCTCTTTCAGGTTCTGTCTCTGTGCTAAACTCACTAATGCAAACAATGCAAACAGAGAAAGGTCGGGTCCATGGCCGGCGCCATTTCTGTGCTGGGACTTCGGTTCTTGTCACGCAGCAGCGTGGACACATGTGGTGTGCTCTTCGCCCACGGTATGCCGGCTCTACTTGGTTGGCGTCTCTGCTGCACTGCTGCGGGACTGACGGCCCCGAGTTCGTTCACGAGTTCGAGGCTACGACTGCAGTTAATCGTGCGGTTAAGGATCCTTTACGCATCGCCGCTGCTGCAGAACAGCGCAAAAGCCCCTGAGAACCCAGCACTTCAGCTCAGCAGACTCTGCAGCTGTGCGGTGTGTCTTGGATGCACTTCTGGTAGAACGCACTCTGCATAGAATCTTCGTTGCAGAAAAGCTGTGTGCTCGGCTGCTCGACTGAAATTCGCTAGGACAGCCATTCTCTCGGGCTGCTGCTGTGGCTACTTGCTGCGGCGCACACGGTCGGAGAGTCAGGCAGAGTCAGTTCTTGGCTTGCCCTGCTTTGCAGTTCTATTCCTCGCGCTCTGCAGGATCTTGCTACTTCAGATGAGGCAATCTGGGTTTGTGCCGAGGACGGGAGACGAGCTGCACACGCACGGTCACTTGAGTTGAGCCACACGAGCGTAAACCTGAGCCTGAACCTCGAGCCCCGAAACTTAAGACTTTGTCCAACCCGAAACTTCAAGCCGGAGATCCTCCAATCATCAGCTCAACATGTCTCGATTGCATGAGGAACTTTGAGGTTCACCACGGCGAGCACGCAGGAAGTAAATAGTTGTTGAAAGAGCACCTGACCGCAAAACTTGATCTTCCTGTGCCTGCTCTGGGAAGCACAGTAAGCAGCAAGCGGCTTCGACGTTCTGTGTGGAGGGTTTCTGCCCGTCATTCTTTCATATTCCTGTTGTGGGTGTTGGTGTCGGGTGCCAGTCTTCCGCAATTCCTCCTCCTAAGGTTTGAGGTTTGGTTCCCATCACTTGTTTAAGCGGTTTTAGGCGTGCAGAACGTGGCGCGAAAGGCCCAGAAAGGCTGGGTCAGTCCGGTTTTCAATCTTCTTGGGGCTGCCGGTTGGAGGTCTCGATGTAGGCATGCATCTTGCTTGTGTGCACGTTGGCCTAGTCCCAGAGTAAGCCACATTATGTATTGGACAAAGCTTCAGCCTTTGTCTGCAAAGTCTTCGGGCTGTGTCTAGCAGATGCAGGAACTGACATGCCTTTTCTTTGACAGAAACAGCGCACCGTGCCTGCAAGGACATGCCGCTGGGCTCCGCGACCTATAGGCCGATCAAATAGTTAATGAGTGACGCAATGCTGTACAGCAAATGCTTCAAGATTAAGACAGTGCTTCACAAGTAAGCACCGAGTGTCTTGTGGGCCGGGAGAAATCTCCTAGTCTGTTTGAGAAAGCTTGTTTAAGTTGATATGCTGCGTGGCTAAACATGTGAAGGGCCAGCTTGCTATCGTTCAGAAAGAATGACGGACCGTTCCTATGTTGAACAGGCTTGACTTACTGAAGCCTTTACCCTTGCGCAAGTCGTCCGGCTGCTGCGAGCGCTCCCTGCCCTTTCATTTTGGTGTCCTCTGAAGGCTAGAAGAGCTAGGACTTCACAGCTGTTGATGCCGTTGAGTAAAGTCCTTCCGACCAGTTGTCGGTTGGGTGGTCTTTCGCTGGCCTGATCTGGGTTGGCCAGGGGCCACCCGAGCGATCGGGCAGCCATGGTGGAATGGCAGGCAGATCTCAAGTTACAAGGACCGATCGAAGCTCCGAATCATCGGCTCCTGGCTCGCCCGGCACAGGGGTTTTGCTGTCCTGAGGACCATCGCGGCTTTCAGAACGGCAGCGGGCTTGGCATCAGCAGCCCGCCGTGACATCGGAATCGATTTTTACACGATGTTACGCCATCCAGAAGTCGCGCCTGCCCTGATGTAGCTTTCAACCAAGATGAAGAAACGAGAAAGGCCGCACGTTGCAAGACTCTTCTGGCGGGTGTGGGAGCAGTGCGAAGACCATGGAGTTCAGCCAGCGGGCTCCCATCCGGAAACCCTGGTCGCTTCGAGTCTCTCAAATCTACGTGAAGATTGCGTTTTCAGCATTTGTTGTCTCCCTGAGGAGAGTTTGTTTGCCCCACTCCGAGTCAACTGCCCCATTCAACCGATGAATAGGCAGTTCACATTTTTTTGACGCGCCCGTATCCCCTCAAATCCCCTCTGACAGAGAAATCGCACGCAGGAGTCTCTTGGATATTGACAGTGGTCGTATATCCAAGTGACTACTTTTCCATGCAAGCATCCCGCTGCAAGTAAATTTACTACCAACAGCAATGAGTACTGCTGTTGGACTTCAATCCTTTACAGAAATGGTCATGCGGCCATACGGAGAATTTATCACCGCTGCTTCTTCCATGAGCGAACCAGCCCCTCGATCTCCGGATATGCTCTCACAGGCACCACGAGCATCGACAACGACACACCAAGCGAAGAGATTCATTACACTTCACTCCAGTTTCGATTCCCACTTCGATTTGTGGAAGCCTTCTGACTTGGTCCTGTCTGATCGAATCGTCTGCTTGAAGTAATGGGCATATGTTCAGGCCTTTGCATGGCGGCACAGCTCCACGAGCACGCACGGGCGGAGGCGCGGCTCGGTGTCGGAGCAGGGGTTCCAGGGCTCGGACCATTGCGTTGCTGCGGAGGACGCCATCGGAAACTGATGACCCTCTTCCGCAGTTTCGCGTAGATGTCACTTTGAGCTTCCCCGGCCGTGAATTGCAGTGGCTCCATCTCAGGCCAAGAAGCGTCGGAGACGGCGAGGGGAGGCAGACATGGGCTGCTTGGCTACATGGACGCTTTCTTCAGCCGCCGCGACAAGGCCCTGCGGTTCGACCTCGCCCGGCCTTACTCGCGGCAGGCCACGAATCGGACACATGATCGATCATGTTTGCACCGTGCAGTTGTGCAGCGAATGCATCTTCAACTCTCCGTGTGTGGGGTCGTAGAGCTCACCGTGGATTGACTGGAAAAAACGATATCCGTTGATGGCTAGTTAGGAAATGTTAGAAATGCTCAGGCAGCTTGAAGCTCTCGAGTCTCGTAAGTATTGAGAAGTCTTGTATTTCTGGGCTCGGGAAGAGCTGTGCACGCGCCCAGAACTGTCGCAGCCTCGCTCAGTAGCTTTGCACGAATGCAGCAAGTGGAACGGAATGTTCAGAACCTGCTGCAGACTGTGTGTGAAGTTGTAAGGTAGACCCGATCCGCACTAGATGCCCAACGGCCAAGCGTTTCATGTTGAGCACCAAGAGTGTCATCCCGTGACCAGGAGAAGGCTGAGGTGCGAGACGAAATCGCGGAAGCTCTTTCCACGCTGCCTGAAAGACCGCCAAAGGCACTTCGCTCGCCGGGAGATCGTGTTTGGTGCGCCTGCGGGCATGAGCACTGCCAAGACCGTACCAGGGTTTTTGGATGTTTGTGGCCCTTGCAGGATGGACAAGAGTCGATGGATCCCGCAGAGCTACGTCTGAAGTCCAAGGTGCCCGCAACTCTTCGCAACAGGACTTCTCATGGCTTCGGATCTGAGAAAGGTGGCCTTGCTTTGTGATCTTCGGCCCGATGCGGGTCCGGTGGAGGTTGCTCAGGCCCCCTGAAATACCCAGAAAGCGTTTGGCCTCTTCGCTCCTTGCAAGGTCCTGCGACGTACACGCGACTGCTACGAAGCGGCCGAGCGTGAGGCCAAGGAGGCCAAAGTGTGAGAAACATCCTTTTGCTATGGCGCTGCTTTCTCTCTGTCCCAAACAGGAGTGTGGACGAGGAATCTCCCTTCAGTTTCGCCGGTGGGCTGCCCAGGACACATCGAAGACGTGGCAGGTTGCAGCTGTGATGAGCACAGCGACGTAGATGAGAGCCGGCATTCGAAGAAAAGGCAGCAGCTAAGAAGCGGAAAGCCGGTAGCAGGAGAGCGGTCTAGCAGCGGTGCTGCGGCGCACTCTGCAGTTGCGTCGGATGCTCGCTCCTCAGGCGCCCGTCCGTTTGCTTTTCGATCTTGGAGCTAAGCCGCGCACGTGGAACACGGCGAGAGATGACAAGCTGACATCCAAGCCAGAAGTCGGGTGCTAGGCCCCTAGGCTGTACGAGATGGGAGGCGCTGGCAGACGGGGCGTGCCTGGCTTTGGCTCTTCTTCCAGCCACTGATGCGAACGCAGCGGAAGCTCTCCTGGAGGCGAAACCCGCTCTGCGACAGTAGCGGTCTTGTTCGACTGGCGTTTGTCAGGCTCTGGCACCTCATGCGGTGCTGCGCCAAGTTCGCCTCGACGTTGCATCATGTAGTGCACATGCACAAAGTGCCCGTGTACGCACGTGCGCCTGATGCATCTGGCATTGCTGTCTTCTTGATTCACATTTGAGCCATCCCATTGGCGCAGAGCAAAGCTTGTGAATGCCCAAAGCATGTACGGTGAAACGGTATATAGCAGCGCAACACCGCGTGCGAACATGCATCGATGGCATCGTCACAAGTGCGCAAGTTGGCGCGATGTCTTCAATGAGTTGGAAGCTGGCTCGAGATTTTTCCCTTGCAATGTAGAGATGGACAGAGAAATATCTCACGGAGTCGCCGGGCCCTGCTGAGTGGTCCAGGCAGGGACGGAGGTGTGCGCTGAAGGTTCTCACCAGTGCCGGCCGACAGCGGCCATGGCTCAGGTTTGTGACATGTCGGCGTCAAGCTTCACGCGCAGTGCGTCTGCGCTTCTGGGCAGTGGTGTTTCTGCTGGCCCTCCAAGCTTGTCAAGACCTCGTGAGAATTCAGGCAGTTGGGTTTGCAGAGATTGCCTGCAGAGATGAACCTCGCAAATTCTTCCTTCGCTTAATCGGCGATGTATTGTCAGGAGCGGCAGATGAGACCTTGCTCTCGCGTGTTAGTTCGCGGAGACAGGCGGGCACATTGATTTGCTAAGGCGACTAATTTTGAGCTGCAGTCTGAAGTTGTCTTGGGCTGCTGGGCACCCGCGTTGTTGAAGCTGCCGCCGCTACAGCCCCCTTCAGTAAGAGGCGGACAGGGTGCAGCAGCACGAGCCGTATCAGTGACTGCCAGGTGGATAGCCAGTCTGTGCAACGACGCCTTCGCGACGAGGCCGGTGTGCTGGAATGGTGTGTTGTGATTGGCTGCCTCGTCACATGACTCCAAATGCCGGAAAGGGAAGACAAGCCGAAATCAACCTTGTTGAAAGCTGTTCGAGAGTGTCCGAGTTCCGGGTGTCGGTACGGTAGCGGGAAGCAGGGAAGGACCCGGGGTCTTTCAGCTCATCGGTGCATGTCCATACCAAAGTTCAGATGGTCACTGGAGAGTTCCTGTAGGGAGCAGAGGTGCTTCTTTCATAATGACCGGAACCTTCGCTCTGTGAGTTGGCATGACGAAGCTCAACAGGCAGTCGAGCAGCTCATGCAAAGATTCACGCCAAAAATCGCACCTTGGACTGACTCTGGACAGTTGACAAACTTTGCACTAGTCACAACACTCTCAGTCAATGTGTGATGGCTCGACCCCAGTCTCAGCAGCTTGTGAATCTCAAGTAGAGTAATGCTTATTGCTGCGACAGGCATCCAAAGGCGATGTGTTTCTTGTAAGTTTGTCGTTGAAGCCTGCTGAGATTTGCCTGTGCTTTGTCGGCCTGTTTGGAATCGCTGCACCGTGCCTGCAATACTGAGACTGGACTGTCGCTGTGGCCCGTTCCCGGTCCCGGGCCAATCGGACCTGAGGTAGCTTCTTTTGCTCTGGTGATCGTCTTCTGGCGTGCCTTCTTCGCAGCACTCGCCTATGGATCTCTTCCATGCGACCAGCCGATGCTGACGTCCAGCAGCAGTGGTGATATTGGTCTTGCCAGAAGATCTCAACAAGCATACTGCATACAGATAGAACGGATGAAAGCTCAGGAGATACTACATGATCTTCAGCATTCTCATAGGTAGAATATCGGAGCAGCTCTCCGCAAAAGCTAGCCGCCGCTCGTGCTGCACCGAAAGGGTCCAACTTCAATGTTGATGTGTCGCGGACCTGAGAAGTCTGACCCGAGGCTACATGCAGGTTCGCGGCATGTCAACGCGATCTGTGCCTTGACTTTCCCATGCCTGTACACCTCCATATCGAAAAGCTTCGGTTTATTGGAGCGAATTGCAGGTATGGGTGTCAACGACGTTGACTTCATTAATTCCCGGATGGATCACGATGATCTGGGGCTACACCCTGATCCAGGCGGCAGAGAACTCGAACTGGCGTCCCCAGCCAATAGACAGGATTCCTTTGCACCGGCTTTGGCTAGAACCTCGTGCCAGCAAGTCTGTCCGGCGTGTTGTCCCTGTGCAATCCATCGTGTGTGGTGAGTGGAGAGCATGGTCAATTGCTGTGAGTACTCGACCGATATGTTGCCATGTTTGTCTTCCTGTTTCCGGGCACATGTTGGGGCTGAGTCCGAAGTGTCAAGGTGTTGATCGTGGTAGCTTGTGCTCATGTTGTTGGGCTTCTTTCATGGTGTCACGCCTGGCTGCAGCGAAATAGAGCCACAGCTTATGTGAGCTTTGCATTCAAGCCACCTCCGTTCCGAAGGGGTCTTCCACATGCCGGACGACGAATCCGCACTTATTCTTTGACACACGGACCTACGTCTATTTTCAGCTGCTTGGCTTTGGAGCTAACAGTATTTTTCGTGTTCCTTGGCACTGATCACTCGCTAAGGATAGCAGCTTCCCTAGCATACCTTTTGGTCCGGGACTTGGTGTCGTGGAAGCGACAGCTGTGACAGCTTGACATCTGGCTCGTCACGAAGTTCTCTTGCACTAGCACACTGCATGCTACAGCACCTCATTTCGGTAAAGTCACTAAAGAGCTCAGAGTGCCGATAATTCTCGAGCAACCAAGTTGGGTATTCCGCTGATCCTCTTTGCGCATCGCTTCTTGCTGGCCATCCGAAGTCTTAATTCTGGCGAGGGTGTTCGAGGCTGCAGCTCGGCGTTGACGGAATCCCTATTTGCTGCGTCGAAAGCATTGCACAGCAGACGCCTAGATGGCTGCGAGTGCTAGCGGCCCAGGTGCTGCGATGATCAAGGATCTTCCGAATCCTGCCTGCAGGGCCGCAGGGCCGGGCAGTCGAAGTGTGGTCTCTTGGCGGGTACGCTGAGGAAGATTCCGAGTGACAGCCCGGAGCTCCAGGATGAAGATGGCAGCGGCCTGGCCTTGAGTCTAGATCCCTAGATCCTTCCCTGCTGTTCGTTTACTTTGCTGGCCAAAGCTTGTGCTTTTCTTCATTCAGCACGAGGCATAATGGAGTGCAGCATTTGTTTGGTGTCCTTCTCCTCGCTGACAGTTGACGCCTGGACCGCACTCATTGCCCAAAAGCTTTCTTTTGTCTTAGCGCCAGTTGCATAAAAGCCTTTGCTGCAGCTTGACTCTGTGGGCGAGCTTCAGAACCCTCAGCGCCCAGGTGCGGACACCATGCAAGCATTATTTTTGCGAGCCTTGCGGCCCGGCAGCATTAAGAGCTTTGCTTTTTACATCGTGGCAGCATGGCGGGTAAGCGAATGCGCACCATGGTGCAGAATCAGACTTTGTTGACCTTGTCTGAGAATGAGTGCTATCTCCAGCCGCACGAGGGCCATCATCTGTCTGTTACATTCAAACGCGACTATTGCCATGTATCATTTCATCAGTATGGTTATGACGATTATGATTCTTGTGGAAAGTGTTAGTATGATTGCTGCTGTTTCCGCTAGTCTTGCTTCCCGCTTACTGTTCCTTCCTTGTAAAAGACTCGTGCTACGACTGCCTTCGTATAGGACCCGAAACCGGAGTTTGAAGAAGAGACTCTTGGGAAAGCGCGCTTGATGCACCTGAAGCACCCCTGTTCGGCCAAAACGCCCCGGTCAACGAGCAAAGCATTGCATCGCAGATGCTGAAGCGCGCAATGAGGCGCAGAAGGCCTTAAAGCTTGAGTTAGTTTCCAGGAGCCGCAAAAGGGCTGCCCAGTGGGGTTTTGTTAGCAGCAGGGAAACATGTAACAAAAGTGGTTGTCGGCAGCGCCACATGTGCTCGTGAATGCTTTTACGCAGCATGCACAACCAATCGAGCCTGGTGTGCCTGGTGCAGCCGAGGTCTTACGAAATGGTGCAAAGCTCATGTGACCTGTCCCCTGTGCAAAAGCCTCGTGGCAGATCCGGGACCTCTGTCTGCCGACTCCTCCGAGGAAGTTTAGCTCCCGAGGGGAGCCTGTTTCACTCTGCTGCCGTTGCGCCGCTGTGGCTTCGGCCTGGATGCACAGGCTTTGGCTTCACGTGCCTTCATGGCAGCACGCGGGAAAACGCAGCACATGGCCCAAAGGCAAGGAGATGCGAGGCTGCAACTGTCCTGCTTAAAAGGCCTTGTGGCAGCCACTCCGATGGCATCAGCTGCACATCCTGCATGTCCTGTAGTGCAGCTTGACCAGCGAAAGGCTCCTACTGGTAGCTTCGTGCAAGACACTTGCTTCTAGAAGCCTGATGCCTCATTTTCATCGCACAGATTACGAGGCCTCGATTCGGAAAGGACAGAAAAAACGCTGAGCGCTGTTCGGACGAATCCTACTTTGCGGATGCGGCGAATTCACAGGGGCAACGTGCGTAGGAAGCTGCAGTTCCGGCCGCAGTGGCTGACATGTCTGTGAGGTGACACCCCAACGGCACAGCATGCATACCGTCTGTCTCAGGTTGCTGTTCGCAGAGATCTTCCGTCTGTGCTGGTGGTGCTGGCACGGGCATGCTGTGCCGTTTCAAACGCAGAGCCGATCAATGCCAGGGAGCTGCGAATGCTGTCGGAGGATTGCCAAGTGCAAGTGGGTGCGGCGTCCCAGGCGATTAACGGCGATTGTGCAGTATGTGTTTTTAGTCCTCCGACATGGATGCTGGTGAACATTATAGGAGATTCTGCGACGACATGCAAGAAAGGGTTTGAAGCATCTCCTGATACCCTCTCACACCGAGGTTATTGTGTGCCCTTCTTGCAGAGCTGGCTGAAATGGGTCCGACGTTACAAGAACAGGAGCAGTTTGCTGCAACTGTATGGCCTCCTGTTCAGCGAGGGGTCTTGATCACATTTTTGCGCAATGCTTTGGCTCATTGATCAAGGAGTTGTTTGAGGTCCTTGATGTCCTTGGAAGCCACGTAGGGGAGGCAGGTTGTGTAGGAGAGGCCGGCACAGAGAACAAGCGTTGGGCCAAGATGTCATCAGGTGGATCCTGCAATCGTGGAAACCTTCGTCGAGTCATTGAGGTGTCGGCTGTGAAGTTTTTGAGGAGAGCAACGCTGGAGCGGCCGACAGCAACTCATCCCTAGTTACCTGAGCGCTTTGACTTTGGAAGCGACCTGCAGCTGAACAGTGTTAATCACCATTGGTCAGAAGCGAGCTCTCAGCCTCGTGGTAGGCACCATAGTTGGACGTGCAACGCTTCGGGCGGGGCATGTGCATGTGTGAGTGACTCGCTGTGCGCGTGTTTCCGATTGTCTAATCACAGCGTTTTTCTCGCATCTCTGTCGTTCCACTTCCTGAACTCCTTCAGCAATATTGTGCTTCGACTGGTGTTTGTCTCTTTGCACATTTAGTATGGTCTGTCTATGTGAGCCTATCTCTATCAGACTTGTTCATGTCCTTGTTGCACCCCGAGAATGAAAACTACCCTTCTGGAGTTGTATGGGCCCCTGCGCAATAGATTCTGCTGCCGGAGGTATGTTTGGCCACTATGTGGGAGCCGCACGCTCATCAAGGTGCAGTTGCCCAGACTTGCAATCTGCCCCTGCCATTGGTAACATTATTATATCTTCAGCGGAGTTATGACAGTCATGAGTGTTACTGCAGCGTGTTGCACTTCCTTCGTCGTGCTGGAGAGGCCTTGCTCGCGCTTGGCCAGGCCAGGTGCAAAGCAAGAACGAGTAGTACAGGTAGATAGGCTGAGCCGTTACCCGTCCGTCAGAGCTCAGCAAGTCTACTTACATGCTCATGCCGATAAGCGCATCTTCCTGGCACCTGCTCTGAACGCGCTTGAGATCCTAGCCATGCAAACTGGGCGTGTCGCGTTCCTGTACCCTAGTACCATGCAGCGGCAACGGCTCTAAGGACTCTAGACTTCCGGTGGATGTAGAGGGCCTAGTGTCGAGTTTGTTTAGCTGAGCTGGGGGCACGGGTACGGAAGCAACCCCTAAGCAGGAAGGAAGGAAGGAGGGCAAGAAGGAAGCAGAAAGAAGGAAGGAAGGAAGGAAGGAAGGAAGGAAGGAAGGAAGGAAAGACCGAAAGAACGAACGCACGAAAGAAAGGACGAAATGACAAAACAAAGAGAGACAGGCAGGAATGCTTTTTTTTTCCCGGATCCGGTTTTGCTTCAAGCTGTTGGAGAATTGTTATTTGGAGGGTCTCGGCTGCGTGAAGCTATTGGGGAATTCCGCTTTGCAGGGTGTTGTTTTGCGTCACGCTAGTGGGGGATTGCATCTTCTAGGTTTGTGTTTCGTGGCAGGCCCCCGTCTTGTTTTGCGTCAAGCAACTTGGGTAATTCCAATTCGGAGGATCGTGTTATGCGTGAACGCTGTATTCTGCCGAAAAAGCTGGGCACCAAGCAATCATGCAACACCCGGGCCTGGGCACTGGGCTGTAGAGCAACTCCTGGTTGGCTAAAGGGATCAAGGAACGCACACATGCCGCCGCGTGCCCAAAGCTCGGCGAGGCCAATGCCCTCGATGTGAAGACTTGCCGCTTGATCTTGGCAGAGCTGGAGGCCGTTGTCACTGCAATGCTTGTTCGGGCTTTGCGTGCGATGACAAGCACTCGACCAGGCTCGCAGTGAGTTTATCGGCCGGGCCGATCGCGAGGCTCGAGCTCTCAGTCTCTCACATGCTTCGCCTCCAAGATAAGACGCAGATAGGCGTTAGAGAGTGAAGGCCTTGCAGGTCGACGGTAGCAAGTAGTAGTCCGACATCATACCGCTGCCGCCTCTTGTAGGCTTCTGAGTTCTTTTGCCTGCGATGCTGGGCGCTTGAAGGCGCTGCTGCTTCTTCTGGCCTTGCACAAGAGCGCGTTCGATCGCACTGCTGTGGCTCTGGGGCTGCCGCATCCACTGTATGACGAGGCTCTTCTTGGCATGCCGACTGCAAACGGCAATCAGATGAAGCATCGTGCTGCAATGGCAGGCTGCCAAGAAGCTTTTGAAGGAGCTCCGTTGTCTGGGAAGGAATCTTAGGAAGAGCTGATCCCACGACGTGTGATCGCAGACAGGAGCTGTCGAAGGATGCTGCTGCTCAGATCAGCGCTTTGCCCATGGAGAACTTGTCTCGTCCTGTGTTGGCCATGGTCTTGCGCTGAGTGTCAAGCTGCCACGCTTTCGGGTGCCTTGGTTATAAAGACGAGGACAGCCGGACTGAGTCGTTCACTTGAAGCGTTTCGCAAAGGCTGAGCTTGGCTTCATGAGCCGCCGAGCTTTGCAGAGCCTTGACGAACGCCTGAAGTTGCCTGGCCGATGGACATGATGTCTGCTTCGTACCAGTTTTCAGATGAAGCCACGATGTGGGATAAATGTGCTGATCTTAGGCTGTTGCTGACGGGACAAGCTTTGGCCCTTGCATGGAAACTAGCCGAGGTCAGGAAGGCTTTTGTCCTTGTCACCTGCTGCCTTCGTGTCGCTCGCCTATGCTACGCGCCAGATTCTGAGCCGGCTTTCCTTCTTGGTGAGGGATGAATTGAACTGAACTCGAACTGTCGCAAGTGCAGATCGATTCAGATAGATTCTACCGAGATTGGGCGGGAGCTCGGGACCTTGCAATTCGAAGACTGGAGGCTTGGTGCGCGGGCCAGTTCCTCGAGAGGAGTTGCGGCTTCCGCTCTGCCTGGCCTTCGGTGCCCTGCTTCATGGCATGGAGCCGAAACAGGCGAAAGCATTAGGAGCTTGGGGCTCAATTCTTTGCTGTCTGGGGAAAGACCAGAATCAACTGCCGCCGTAGTTGTGGCCATCGGTAACTGCGATCGTTGTCGCAAATCGGTGGTGTCCCCATGCTAGTCGTCGTTCGTGCCGTGAAAGTAGCAGTGGTAGCTGTGGCTGTATTGGTGAGCATTGTAGTTGCACCGGTCATGATCAGTCGCACCAGGAGGCAGAGGAAGGAAGAGGAGGCGCTTAGCAGGCGAGGCGCAGGCGCAGGCGCATGAGAAGGCGAAGGCGAAGGCGGCGGATGGTGAAGGTGTAGGGCCGTGTAGCAGGAGCAGGAGCGGTAGCAGTAGCGGTAGCAGTTAGGAGTCGGAGTAGGGCAGAGGAGGAGTGTGAGGAGGAGTCGTAATAGCTTTGGTATTGGTCCTGGCACTGGCAGTGGTATAGGCTATTGGTCTCCCAATCTCTCAGCCCGAGAAAGCAGAGAAGCGCAGACACAAGGATTCTGCATGGCTTAGAAGTTCTTATACCCATTGCAAATGCTAAGCAGTCCTTCATGTTGCCGCAGTGATGGGTGGTTGCTTCGACTTGGACAGCATGGGATTGCTGGCATAGAGTGCTCTCCCGTGAGAGGTGGCAAGCTGCATCGAAAGCTTGAAGGGCTACAGCTACAAGGTCGTATTTTCATCGGTGTAGTTCATGTTTGCTCGCTGATGTGACTCTGGGCCAGTCCAGGCATATCGCCACGTTTTCGAAGCAGCCTATGCTCGCTTGGCGTCTGCCCTCGAAAGCCAGGCTGCAGGCTCGTCCTGCATCGCATTACCTTAGGAGAAGTTAGGAGAGTTGAACCTTCTTGGTGCAGCGGGGGTGTACGGAGGCCTGGGTGACCAGCGGCCATGGGCCATACTCACACCAGCGGAGGTGGCTGCAGTCTCGCTTTTGCTCTATTCGTGGATAGATCCGCATTACGCTCTGCAGGCAGCTGCAGCGATCAAATCGTTCCCAGAGCTGAAGTTCGAGGAAGCTTCACCGGGTTCGCTGCTTCACGAACTTCAGGCAGGAGTAAGCGTGAACGCTGTTCCCTTGGCCTACTTGTGCAGAGGGAGCAGACTTCGGGCAGCTGCAAGGCTTAATTTTGCATCCTTGGCCTTGACGCAAGTACTGCCTGGGGCAATGCAGGATTCGCTGCTTTTGCTTCGCATGTTGCGAGCACTGAGCCCATCCCCTCTTCAAAGCAGTCCAAGGCGTGACGTGTTTGTCTCGGTTGCATCCGTGACACGTTGATCTCCAAGCATGAGCACGCAGAAGCAACCCACGAGGCGCCTGGCATCCCCCGAATCTGACGGCAGAGGAGCATGCCGCCAGCGGTGGTGGGTCAGCACACTTCAGTCCTTTGGCGAATCATATCACAGGAGCTGTGTATCCGTCCACAGAGCCGGTACTTCAACTTCATCAACCTACGGGAATGCTGGCGAGGAGAATGCCTTGCACTTGGGTGCATGTCTTCCGCGTTCTAGCTGCAAGAGGATGGGCATGGTGGAGCTGGTGGACATCCTTGAGGCCTTCGGCCAACAGGGCCTCATCGGCTGTGGAGCAGTTGCTGATGCGGCTCGTCTGCATTTGGAACGTCTGCACGCTGCTGCACTGGCCCCGCTTTCCACTCGGAGGCGATTGTGGCCAGATACGGCGCCAACGGGGGAAGACTGTCACGGCGCAACACAGCCCGAGCCACTCTGCTGGCAGCAATGAGACACAGTGCAGGCAGCAAGTTGCCATGCTGGGGTGGCATACTGCTTGGCACGTCACGGCTTGTTTTGGGTCTCCGACGTCTGAAGATGATGATTGCTGTCAGCTGTCTGACAAGAGATGCTCTTTGCAAGGATGGATAACTAACCGTGAGTATAGGTCAGGATGAGCTGGCTGTGGTTCGGATAATTGTTGCTTCTTCAGTGCGGAAAGCTTGCCGATCGGGTGGAAACTTGGTTGGCCCGTATCATTGATTGAAAAGAATAAGAGCACTCCTGAACTGTTTTGTGTCGAACAGTTTTTGTTGCAGAGTCAGAACTCAGCAGACGAGGTACTTTAGAAACAAGAGAAGGGACAAGACAAGTGTCCTGCCTCACCTTGTTGGTATCATGCCGAATAAGACGCATCAGTGCCACCCGGAAAGCCAAGCACAGTGTGTTCAAGATGAGCAGGTTTGGCTTCTGTATGTTCCAAATTCGTTGACGACCCCTTCTCTCAAAGAAGATGTTCCGTTCCCATCGTATCCATGAATCCTGGACCCTGAGGCTCTCTGGGCCTTGGCGATCCTCGGCTCGCAAAGAGTTTAGGTGTTGTGATCCGCGTAGGGAACGCGACGTGCGAGCCGAAGAACACGCCGTTCTACTTCTTTTTGCTTGCCCTGGGCTCTTGGATGCGAGCCTCCTGTGATTTCTACGGCTCTACGGCATTGCTCGGCTGCGAGCTCGGCCGAGGCAGCTTGGAGAACGGGAGACAGAGCTGGTGGAGCTTCTGATTGCCGAGTTGGAGGGCTGGGAGGCTGGGAGGTCTCAAAAGTGTTCCGATGCGTCCTGTGGTTGAGTCTAGTGGAGTTTAGCGCCAGGTGCAGGACCCTCATGGCACAGATCTTCGACCACGGCCTGCTTTGGTGGCACTGTGGTCACTCTGCGCACTGAATTTGGTGCCAAGGAGATCCGATGTCTGTGCTGCTGAACCTCGAAAGAATTCGTTTGGGCTGTTGCAGGGCGGCGGCAAGTGTGGATTGGCTGCTGACCTTCCTGTGTCGCGAGACAGTTGCGACGCCACATGCCCAGAGGGTCATTTTGTATCTTGAGTGTGGGTGGATGATGCGGATGCTAATGCTGCGATGAGGTATGTGCTGGAAATCCGAAGCCAGGCCGATTGGAGATCCCATCATGTCCCATGGGCTTCTGAAACCTTCTCAAACCATTTATTCGCTCCTTGAAGGCTTTGCTGCTCTTCGCTTCCCTCGACGCGGTCCGCTTAGTTGTGCCAGGAGTTGCAGCCAGGCGCGTCACAGGGGCCCTTCAACAGGGTTTAGGGTTCTTGATTATGCAAAGACTTAAAAAGGTAGCTTAGTAACATCGTTTTTCTTGTGATCTTGGCAACGTGAACAGACGTGCGCGCAGACGTGAAAGAAGCTTACAGATCATGCTGCATGCCGAAGAGGGGACGATAGCGGATTGACATGAACGCCAGTTATCACCAGGTCGTGCTTGGAGCGAAACTGAACTATGTTACCAGTCGGTGACCCCCCCACGCCCCCCGCCATGGCATGCCACCCCCCCTCGCCTCCCACAGCACAGCGGCCAAGACAGGCCTCTCATCCGAGCAAACAGTCACAGGGATGGTGCTCGTCCGCATCACCATCCTCGTATCTGTCGACGTTCTTTTGGAACTCTCGCGCACGCAAAATCGCACAACCCACCCCCCTCCCCACACAGACGAGGATGATGGCGATGATGCTGAGGACAGTGAAGCTGACGTGCTTCTTGCGTGCTGGTATTCCGAGTGTGACTGTTGGTAGCGCAACCGCTCTTATGCCGTTCTGCCCTTAGGTCCTAGGCCTTAGGTACCGCATGCTCTTTGCTTTTCATTTTTTCAAAGCTTGTTTGGCTTGATGTTCTTTCGTAGATTTTCGTAGCTTGTATCGACCGTTGTCATTCTATGCTCAGTTTCGGCTGGGTGCGTCAAAAGTTAGCCCGAGCATATGCTTGATTGGCTTTCATTCAGGACTCTTGAACAAGGGACCGGAGGAGCGTGTGGACGGGGATCGAGGGGGAGAGAGGGATACCGTGGGAGGGGGGGGGAGGGGGGGCCTGGCAGCGCTGCACCATATATTCGTTGTGCTTGCCTTATGTGCTGATGTCGAAGTGGTATCCAGGACAAAGACGGGATGGAACAAGGAAGCAACATCAACAACAGCATGAAGAAGTAAACACACGAATGGATGATTAGGTCAATGCGAAACAATACTACAAGCATCTGAGTAACTAAATCAACATTCATACACGACGACGTAGTAAGACGAGAGCGTCCCCCCCTTATCCCTTTGGAAGGAAGCGAGTCAAGCCGATCGGGGAGATTCGGGGAGTCAGCACCGGTGACGCCTTTGCTGCGGTTACAATTCGCACAGGGTCTCCGAGCGGGGCCTACAGGAATTAGGTCTTTCTATGATGTACGTGTGATGGTTGCGTTTATCTGCAACGACACCTGTGCCTTGAGCACAGCAGGGCAAGTAGAAACTGCGTTGTGAACATCCTGCCTCCTTTCATTCGCTGCCACAGTGACGCACACGGGAGGGGAGGACGGGGCCAAATCTCTGACGTTCCTATGGACTTTAGACTTGCAGCAGAATGCAAGACAGAGAGCGGGCAAAAGAGAAAACCAAAAGCAAATGCCCGTTTGGCTGGCTTGCATGAGCGGATCGTTGGTGACGGCAGGCACCTGCAAGCTCTGCAGGCGAGCCATTCTCCTGTCGCAGAGCAGGTGCAACTGTCCGGAAGTTTCGTCCCCTTCCGAATGCTCTTTGCTGCCAATCTCAGCAACTTGACAGGTGCTGCTGGAAGTCGGGCGTCCATTGCGGAGTCCGCAGGAGCTGCTGTCGCTCTCGGGTAGGTGCGCGATGTGATGGCTGTAGATGCCGGCGCTGAGAGACAGTTGGGGCATTCGGTTCGGGTCTTGCCATGCGCAGTCCGGAGCCAACGTTGCTCGAGAGCCCCGAGGATGATAAGGACAAGCCGGCGGCTTTGGTGACTTTGGTGTCTGCTTTCCCGCGCCGAAACGACTCTTCAGGAGCTCCTCAGCCTCGCCGACTCCGGAGCGATAGAGGACAGGGACAGTGCGATGGACACGACAGACAGCGGAGGCCACAATGTCCGGTTCCGATCACCACCAGAGAACATTCTCCAATTTTCTCGGCTTTGCCGCGCACATGTACGAGCAAACAGCACAAGCCAGCAACCCGAATCCAAGCCTGATTCCCAATCGAAATTGTATGCTAAAGCCTTTGAAGGAAGCAGCAGACCCGAGCCGCCAAGGTTAATCAGTCCCTTGAAGCATGGTGCATGTGTCCGTGTGCTTTTACTGCAGCTTCAAGTATTCCAAGGTCCAGAGTCTAGGGCCCTCTTGCATTGCGCAGGGTGACCGGGAAGTTCGGATACAGGGAAGGCTCCACGTGGCAGGTCGCTCTCTACTCGATGAGCTGGCAATTCGGTGGGAGATGGCCCGACGAAAAAAGGCAGGCGATTCGGTGACGCGCGTGGCTGCGTTTGTATCCTGTGCAGCTGAAGGAAAGCGAGGGTCTGTCAAAAGCGAAGCAGCTGCTGGGCTCAGTCTTGGCTGTCGCCAGGCCGCAGCGTTTGACGTCCGTGCTGTTTGCGAGTTTCCACTCGTGCTGCATGAGTTCTCTGCTCACGATTCTCCATGCATCTCCGGCACTGAGGCTTTGAATACGGCACAGCTACTGCGAGCTGCTCCGCATCCATTGGGCCGTCTCGCAGCCGAGACAGCACGTGGCAGTGGCGGCTTCGAGCTCCGGTGGCCTGCAGGCCGGAGACACCGACAGGAGAGAAACATAGACAAACACAGCGCTCATCAATGATCCCTGTTCAGGTGAAACTATAGTGGACTAGACTTACAGCGGAAGTGATCGCATCACCTCACATCGTGCTTTTTTTGGAGTAGGATGTCCCTTGCAATGTCAAGGCTGCTACGATGTGGACTGGGGGCATCCGTTCTTCCGGCTGGGTATTCTGGTGTCGTGCTCGGTGCGTCTCTGAATGGAGTCGATTTTTGTATCGTCTTGCAAGGTGCTCTCGCAACGGGACTTTGTCCTGGAGGCCTCTGCAGGCTCCATTTGGACGACCCCGCGACTCCGTGCCTCTTCTCGCTTGCGTGTGCAGCAGCTGCGAGAGGAGGGGTGGAGGTCCCTTGGCTCTAAAGCTTCGTCGCGGTCTGTGATGGAGACGGGCCCTCTCGTCATGACTTTGGAAAGTTTCATATACGATTTTTCACATCAGGATTGCAGAAGCTACGATTAATCACCAATTGATGCCACGCTTACCCTTCTGTAAGAGCGTGGCTGCCGAGCGGCGAAGCTTCTCGCGATTCCCACAAGCATGTGATGCTTGAGTCTCAACGGGGTTACCAAGCCTCCGAGTCCCCAGGTTCATGTTTGCTAGATTGTCACGCTTGCTGAGGCTGGTACTCCTTCGTGCAGCAGCAGTAGATGCTTGGATCGTGCCATTCCGTGAAGATCCAGATCTTTTCAGCGAGACATTACAGGCGGCGATTCGTAACAGATCCGGAACAGCTGAAGTCTCAGATTGCCGACTGTAGGCGCGGGTCGTCCGTGCCAATGCGCTGTACCCCCTGGAAGTAAGGCCTCGATGCATCTGTGCCTGTGAGAAGCATCTCCCCTAAAGTGGCAGGGCTTTGAAGAAGAAGCTGCGGAGGTCCGTGCGCGACGAGGCCTTCCCTTTGCCCACCAATCGACAATGTGAGTTCTGAACGACTGCGTCCTTGCCTGAAGGTGCATGACAGCGAGCTGCGGGAACAAATTGTTCAGCAGGTGCTGCAACAATTGGATTTCATTTTTCCGGATGGACTGGTTTCAGGAGCAGGCGGGAATCTTGCTTTGACCGCAGGCGAGGGCGGATGAGGTTGAAAGCGATTTCAAAGCGAGAACCAACTGTCAACAATGCCCAATGCACTTGATCTGCTGACCTGCCAGCATCACTGCAACACGCACTCAACTTGGCAGTAGCCAGCTACTGTATCGACTTGAAGCTAGTGATGCAGCATAATCCTACCATGCTCCGAAGCCTTTCATGATGGAAGTTGCGCAGGGAGAGAGCTTGTGCAAAGGATTTCCCTGTCGTTCGCCTTGTTAGTTTTCATCTGCAGGCAGCGTGGGGCAGCAAGAAGTTGCCAGCAGTGCCATCCAGCTGGAAGGGGGCAAGAAAGATCGCCAGCACAGCCCAAGTGCCGCCGAAGAATGTGTCGTCATTGTCACAGTCGCTTAAGCAGCCAGCTTTGCTTGCTCGGAACGGCTCGGACAGCCGACCAGGACAACATTTAGCAGGTCATTCGGACTCATTTCTCCGGGCCATGCAGCCATGAAGCACTGCAGTACCGTCAACGTTCCCTTTCCATCGGATCAAGGGGCCAGCAAGCAGCTGCATGAGACGACACCGCAGCTGTTTCTAGACTCCAAAAAAAGCCGAGAGCAATGGCGGCGAGTCCACGGAATCCTTCATGCAGTGGACAGCTCGCTCACTGTGGTATCTGCTGTGTCTGTGTCCTGCAACGGCGAATCGCTGCGACGCTGCTTTGCTGCGTCCATGCCTGGAATCTCTTGCCACGTCGGAACCTAAGACCGGCAGGGGCAAAGTACATGTGACCCGCATGACATGTGGTTTGGATCATGTCTGAGGCACCCGGGCTCCGTGCGTCCGGGGCGTGCTCCGAAAGCCGAGTCCCGAAATGGGCCCATTCAGACGGTTGGTGCAAATGATTTGACCTGCCCAGAAGCGCTGCCTTGGGAGGACCTCGAAATCGACCGTGTCAAGAACATTCAACATAATGTCAACACTGTGCAAAGAGAGAACGTCTTGTAATGACATTGAGGACCGGGATTCCGACGGCTTTCGGCCTTTGGATGGCTTTTTGGGCTTTTTGGACGATTGCATGAAGTGCAACAGTGACACTGAGATCGCACTGCAAGGCAGAGCTGGAACGTCGGGCTGCAGAGGGTGAGAAGTCGCATTGAAGCCTTGAGCAATCGGAGGAAAGAGATGACCGGTCTGCGGGAGGCCTTCCCCCCGAGACGGACCACATATTCCAGGCCAGGTCTGCCACGCGACCCGTCCCGACGACAGGGTGTCTCGGTATCTCATGTGTTCTTCAACATGCAATATCTTCCTGCATGGAGCAGGGTGGTTTGGTCATTAGGTTCCGGTGTTCCGGTGCAGCAAAAGCTTCAAATTTGTTTGTCCCTTGATCCGCTGTTTCAAAGCCACCCCTTGTTGCATGCATATCGTTGGTGATGGTCAGATGCTGGGGCGTTCGGCGCCGGAGCTCGCCTATGCATACGGCTTGCGGAACCTTCGGAGACGTGAGGCGCGGAACAGGTTCCCGCCCCACACGACTGCGTGCAAGTGCGCATAAGGTAGTGCGCATAGGGTGCAGGTTGTCGGGTTGTGGCGAGTTGCCAGTCCGAACAGGAATCTGGTCTGCTCCCAGTGTCACCTCTCTCTCTCTCTCACTCTCCCCTTCCTCTCCCTCCGCCTCCTCCAAGCAGCATCTTCACCCATTGCATGAAGGCAGCTCCTTCACCAGCTCTGCTCCACCACATCTTTGGCAGCCTGCGGGGGACCGCCCTTTGCCTGCACAAGCACAGGATGTGCGTGAGATTGGCGAGAGATGGCTACGCACGATCTACGAAATCTGTATGCATGAGAGCTTCATTGTCGAGCGAAACTTGTGTTTCGGGCTCTGGAGCTATCTCTAGACTCTAGACACCTTTGGATCAATTTCGGATTTGTGGCGACATAACTGCCTAGTCTCATCCACAGCTCATCCTCGTGGGATTCCACTTCCAAACTAGGTATGACCATGGCCAAGCTCAAGAGCTGAGGGGGCCGAGTCTAGCCCAACCGGGATTTCAGTGCTGAACGGGCACAACATTCTCGGTCTAAAGAGCTTCAACAACGGTGTCCAGGGCAGTCTGCGAATGCATGAGTGCATTGAGTTAAAGCGATATGTAGCTCGGCATGCCGTACATATGCGACGTTGCCTGGAAAGGTTCTCCACCTGGGTGCTTTGCATGACTTCGACACCAGACTGTACAGTGCCAACCGGATGACTGCAGTGGAAATTAAAGGCGGGACAGATGAAGACGGTGCAGTAGTGGTGCAAATTGTACAGCGCCTTTGTGCTGTATCCTTCATGATTGGATGTCCTCCCAAAGACTGCGACAGCGTGTGGATCAGGATGCACTCGTTTACCACCGATGATGACAACATCACCCATTGCCGTGCTGCAAGCATACGGACCACGACTGCAAGCTCACGCCCGAGTCGAAATGAAAGGGCGCAGTAAGTAGTGTGGCTGCAGACTTGCTACATTCAGGAAGCGACATCTAAGAGTGTTTGCATCCCAGGTTCCCTGCATCTTATCTTTGCTTGAAGAGCTGCTCAAGGACGGGCACCTTGACGATGTCACTGCGAGCCGGAGTAGTGAAGAGCCTGGATGGGCTGTACCTTCCGTGTGCAGGCAGGAAGGTCTCCGACATTCCTGGCCTTGGACTTGAGGTGCTCAGTTCCTCAGTTCAGACGGCGGTTGTGGTAGCGATGCGAAGCGACGTGAAGCGACGCGAAGCGGGTCTTCCAGGAGCATGGAGATCTCACGGATACTGCCGGAGCTTTCCAGCCGGGGCTACGAGCACTTCAAGGCCGCTCGGCGCCAGTGAAAGCTAGATCTGCATAGAATGACTCGTGGTGGAAAGTGGTTGTGGCGGTTGGGGCCGTGGCAAGCGCCGAGCGCACATTGAATGGATTTGTGCGAAATGGGGCTTGTTGCCCGACGGGCTGCGTCTGGAATGGGGGTCAAATAGGGCGTCAAGATACGACCGACAGAGGTGTCTCGTCAGTCCCTCTTCGGCTGCACGGACGAAGTATGCGCTGGAGGACCTCTTGGAGATGAGGTCGCTTGGAAATTGCCAATAAAGGGGGCTCCCTTCGTTGAGTTACCGAAGGCCTAAAGGTGTCAGGAGCGCCGTATAACCAGAGGCGACAGACTGGCGCCATGGTGTCATCTGGCGAAATGCTTCCTCCGTTGCCTCCGACGCTCTGGCCATCCGACTGCTGCAGGGAAGGCGCTGCAGCCCGGGATGCTGAGCTTTAGGTCAAACGAAGCCTCTGGGAGGTCCTTGGAGCACTTCGTGTTGCACGCAGCCATGGCCGGCCCCCGACGTCGCCTAGGCATCAAGAGAGAGAGCTCTTTTTTCACGAAAAGGGCTTTTTCTCGCAGCTCACTGCTCTTCCCGCAGGCTTGTGCTTGACGGGCCAACTGCGCAGCCGCAACGGAGTCGCAGACCTTCAGCAGGCCGGAGTGTCCGTCCCGATGCAATCCTGGTGAAAGTTGCAAGATAGCCCACAGAGCCACAGGTCCTACGCCGATTTGCTAGCTTCGACGTTTTCGCGGTTGTACCTTCTCAGGACGCGTCATATGTGTCGGCCATTTGTTGAGTTCGGCTTGCTTGCACCTTTGCTTAGTCTACGATTGAGTATGCCTCATCCTGGGTCCATAGGCAATCTGTGTCAAGGGCGTGTTGCAATCCGAGCTGGGAGGTTGACGATCCAATCGAGTCGCACAAGCATGGGTGTTGCCCTCCACTCTTGACGTGATGCACTGCTGGCAGGACTGTGCTCGGGCTTGCGAGGTACTCGCTCCACTGCGAGCCGAGGCCAGCTTTTACTTGCCAACTGCAGTTCTGCTGCCGTGCTGCGCTGCAGTCAATCGGATTTCTGGAATCCTCAGGTGCTTTGCGTCGACAGCCTCTTCATGAGCCCAGAAGAACTACAGTGGATTCGAGAAGGGCCCAAAGCCGACCCCGACGTTTGCCCCGGGCATCATTGTGCCTGCTGGCGTTGTTTATCAGACACGCCGTGCTCTAGTTCACTGCTGCATGTCCTTGTCATTCAGCACATTGCACAACCAGTTGGGATCGTTACAAGCCACGCTAGTCTTTTCATCAAAGGTCTACGTATGGCGTGATGTTGACACTTGCGGCCGCCTTCTTCACCGCTACATGAGACGGTGCCTCCCGAACTTGCTGTTTGCCTGGTTTTATTGGCGCAGCCGTGCCTGAGCTGTGTCGACCGTGTTCTGAATGGATGCCGTGTGTAGCCGTTTGGTGCCATTTTGCAAGGCGGTAAACTAAGCAAAGCATAGAGTGAATACATCAAAAGAGGAAAGAAACTTGAGCACCTGTTGTACTCTGACAGCAAGAGGGTTTCACGAAGTTGCGTACAGAGAGTCACTTGCAAAAGACTCCGGCTGTGCCTATGGGCCTATGAAGAGCATCAGCAGTCGAAAACAAGGCTCCGAAGTGAGAGCCATGAGTGAGGGAGCAGCCCTCCTGTGGGCCCACTTGCGGCTTCCCTACGTGACCTGGTGACCCACAGCCAAGCCAAGGCACGGTTGCTCTGAGCTGACACATGCCTGAGACCCTGAGCCTGTTGCGCTTCAGGTGAGAGAAGTATCTATGACCAAAGAAGACATGGCATCTGGTCCGCAGGTTCAGCCTTCAGTTTGGTTTTGTGTCGGCCATACCAAGATCAGCCAAGTCTGCACAAGGACAGATCTTTGAACATCTGCATGGTGTCGGACTTCTTTCATCCTGGTCACTTGGTTACAGAAGCTTTGGAACCTTGGCATGCCGACTATGTAGGAATAGAGCCTTAATAGGATTTACAGTCTCACAATGCTTCCGTCACACCGCAACACAAGGCCTGGGGGGCGTTGAGATGCACATCTACCAGCTTTCGGAGTGCTTAATTCAGCGTGGGCACAAGGCGCCGAGCTCGACAAACTTTTTCGTGTCTGCCTCCAAGTGGAAGTCGGAGGTCATCGTGGTGACCCACTTTCGTGGGACTCGACAAGGTGTTCGCTACATGCGGAATGGATTGCTCTTGGGATGTAATTTGCCTTGATGCCAATCTCGCCATGTGCAGGGCTTTGGCTCGACCGCAGAACTGTTGATCCTCTGGCCAAGGAAGGTCTACTATCTTCCTTTCTTGCCTTTCCATGACAATTGCACCTCGGTAAAGCAGTGCTTTTGTTCCTCAACCGCAAGTTTTGCCTCTGCATCAGAGGTACCTTTCCCACGTTCCTATCGTTTTTTCCACTGATTCGCAAAGTTCTCATTCGTGAGCGCATTGACATCGTCCATGGCCACCAAGCTACGTCCAACTTGGCGCACGAGCAGCCTGGCTGCAGTGAAAGATGTCCAGCTGTGCACGTAAACGTTGCTGTTGCAGTTCATGTTGGCTTGTTCTCGACGGGCAAGTGCTGAGGTGCGTGCTCCATGCGCGGACCATGGGCTATCACACCGTGTACACGGACCACTCACTTTTCGGCTTCGCAGACGCTGCTTGCATACACGTCGCAGTCTTGGCCGGGACAGGAAGTGAGCAGGTGTCCCTAAACTGCCGTCAGATGCCCGACAAGGTCAACAAGCTTTTGAAGTTCTTCCTGACCAACGTCGAGTCTTCGGATCGCATCACTGGATTTCCGGGGATGCTGTGATGCCAGGTACTTGTCAGAAGAGGTTGGACGTCTCGGGCCTGCGAGCTCTGAGGGGACTATTACCGTTTTTCGGGGATTTGGCTTGGCAAGATTCCTCCAAGGCACTGCATCTGTGTGTCGCACACAAACCGCGAGAACCTGGTGCTGCGAGCATCCTTGAATCCAGCCAATGTCTCCGTCATTCCGAATGCAGTGGACACGAGGCTGGCGAGATCCGCGGACCATACTTCAGCAATCGTGTGCCTCCTCAGGCGCTTTACTCCGGACACTTCCAAGAGAGCACCGCGACCAGCTGTGACAGTGGTGGTGGTGAGTCGCCTCACTTATCGAAAGGCGGGGTCGGTGGGATGGAGTGACTGGTACTGGTGAAGCTTCCAGCGGTGCTCTGCGTGGATGTTTTTTTCCAAGGGGTCTGTAAACTCAGCTACCGGATGCTCGTGAATGATGCTGCAGGGCGTGGACCTCTTAGTGGGTGCCGTGCCGGAGATTTGCCGGAGGTGGTTCTGCCGTGGGAGATGCGTGTAGGCAGTTTTGGAGCACGAGTTGCTAGGAACCGGGACGTGCGATGGTGGCTTTTCCGCATTGAGCATACTCCTGTTCATCCGTGATCATGGTCATCATGGTTCGTGTGTCGTCTTGGCATGTTGCATCTCAGGGTCATCGGTGGCAGTGGCCCAAAGAGGCTGTTGCTCGAAGAGATGATCGAGAGGGAGCCCTTGGCTGCTTTTCAGAGTGCCCCAGTCACAACCTCGGAGCAGCCGAAAGCCCCAAAGAGCCCAACGGAACCAGAAGAATGAGAGGGAGTGCATACGTGAGCATGCGTGCTGATGCGCATTGCAGGATAATCTTCACGTCTGCAGCTCAGGGTATCATTGCTCCGGGTGCAAGTGCTGCGAGTGAGCTGCTGTTTCTGTGCAGATGACCGTGCACAGCAACCTTAGGACCGAGTGGAGCTTTTGGGATCGGTTCCGCACGAAGATGTCCGCAAGGCCAGCAGAAGTTCAGATCGAAGCGGATTTGCCAGGTAGTATGCCTCACTGACACTTGTCACGCCAGGTTCTTGTGAGAGGGGACATCTTCCTCAACACCTCGCTCACAGAAGCGTTCTGCATTGCTATTGTCGACCTGGCTTGTTCTGACATGTATTCGATGGCAGTATCTTGAAAGCCAGGTGGAGGCAGCCGCCTGTGGACTGATGGTCGTATCGACCAATGTCGGGGGCATCCCCGAAGTCCTCCCGCTTCGGCCTCGCGTGGCTTTGTGTGTCTTACTAGCACCGATCCCAGCCACTTGTCCTCCATCCTAAGTGCAGACGTTGCACATGGGGGCCCAAAGCTTTGTTTTGTCGGGCATTGGGCCCCCAAAGGGTCGCTCACACATGGAGAGAACAAAATTCCACTGATAACGCCTACCAGGAAAGCTCGCAAACCAGACGTAAAGATTACACAAGAAACGAGCCTGGTCTCTTTGTGCCGGAAGCGGAAGGTGAGCTTGCCCTCTGAACACGTTGCCAAACTCAGTTATATGGCTTCCTTCTTGTCACCTTGCACATCCTTGCACCAATTATGTTGGTACGCCTTGGTATTTTGCTGGAATGGGTCACAGAGTTCACTTGTTGGGCCTCACAAATCAAGACGCTATCATTCTGCAAACACTGCATTGCATTCAGTTCAGCTGATCCAAGACTTGAGGCAAGACCATGAGGGTCAAGGGTAATCATTGCCGAGTGATTTCGGTAAGCGCGCTGCGCTGGGGAAAGCCAGAGCGCCAAGGCCTCACATGACCCGCCTGGCTGCTCCGTGCGTGGACGACATCGTGCAGGTGGAAGCTTAGCTAGCACAGAAAGAGGACCTCGTTTGGGTGCAGTATAAGAGACAGCAGAGCTGCCTTCAGGGGCTTCGTTTGGCCTGCAGCTCCTTTCAACTTTCCGTTCTTGGGAGGCCTTGGAAGATGCTCTTGGCTCGCTTCCTCCTCCGGAGGCGACGCTGGCTGTTGGTAGCAGCCTTCAGCTTTGGGGATATAGAGGTGGTAATGATGTGCAAGGATGATCGCTCCTCATGCTGATGGTGGTTTGAATAGCTCTTCGTGGAAAGTCTTGTTGCGAACGCAGAGGAGTGCTGCAGTGTTGCAGAATCCTGAAATATGCAGCTATATGATATGATGCTATATGCAGCTGCAAGCCAGGCAGCCGCGACTTTTCATGAAGAGGTGCGTGGGATGTACTCCTGGCTCGCACCAGCCCCAGCCCGGCTTGCACAGAAGTAGTTGTCTTCAATGCTCCGCTTGCCACAGTGCCGCATGCAATTCAGTGACCTTGAGGTGCTCGGGTTTCACGAGTTGCTAAGCAAAGACTGACCCAGGACATTGCCGAGAGGACGGAAAAGGTGTACCGCAAGGTTGCTGTGTGCTCAGACGGGTTGCAGAAGCGTCAGCTGCATGTAGATCAACACCAATCAGCCATTACATGTATGTTGTGTTGTGACATGCGAGACCGCCGAGGTGAAACTTCCGCGGGTTTGCTTGCGTCAGCGTTTGCTGCGCTTCTTGCGGGTTGGACCCGTGTCTGGCAAGCCTGCACCTTAACAGCCAAGTGTCCTTGGACAGCGCGCCGCGATGGATGGCATGAGCTTCGCAGACCAAGGCTGTTTCTGCTGCTCGCTGCTCTCGACACGCTGTTGTTCTGGTGCTTGAAGTGGTTGCATCCAGTGGAGGAGGCCTTTGCCATGCCTTTCTTCAGAAGCTTGAGCTGGAGATCATGTCTGTGGCAGACGGCTTGGTTTTGCAGCCTTACATACTACCTGGGAGGTGGAGTCCGCTGTGGACGTGCCCCGATTCCCAGGCCGACCTGCTTCCTCTGTTCCTTTCCTGCCTAAGTCATCCAAGTCTTCAGTGAATCCTTTTTAGCCAGGTTCCCCAGAGAGGCAGCGAAGCCGAGAACCAGCAGAGAAAATCTTGCAAAGCCCTGCCGTCGCGCGCGATTTGCTTGTGCTTCACGGCCCTCCATGGCCATGCCTGCTTGTAAGTCTGAAGATCCCAATCATGTGGGGAGCAGCAAGGCTGTATGAGATATCTCCGATTTAGAACACTTTGATTTTTAGTAGGTGCCTAGAACCCTAAACCCCTGGACCCAAAGAGCTGCAGATCCCCCCCGCGCAGGTTCCGGGTTTCGTATTGGAGGGTGGCTCGAATGCGGCTGGACTTGCGCATCGCGATGTTCCCGAAGGCGTCTGCACACTTGCTCACAAGCAGGGAGAGTTAGAACCGTTTGGAGCAGGATGTGGCGGTCCTTGATGAGGAGAATACCATTTGGGCATATGCCATCCCTGATCGTCAGTGGATTGCAATGCCAGACAGGCAGTTCGTATCGTGAAGAACAGTCGAAGCCAGTTAAAGCCATAGCATCGTGTGAGGGAACGCTTGAACCCCCTGAAGATTTGCAATGGGGCCGCCTCGGTTGATGGATGCATACTTCACCACCTACCGGTGGATGCTGGACAAAAGAAGCTGGCAACACTATGATCCAGTAGTTCGCACTGTCTCTTGGAAGGAGTTGGTTCAGTTTTTCTTTGCTCACGGGTCAAGTTCGCCGTTCTTCGGAGAGTGGAGCTTTTTCCAAGGCCTGCGCACGACGTGGCCACCTCCAGGTGGAGCCTGCAGAGAGTGGAGAGCTCGGAGAGCATCGGCTCCGCGCATTCGGCAAGCTCTGGCCCTGCCCGGAGCACTCGGCGCGCGGCTTGGCGTATCCAGGACCGACATGTTTTGTGGCAATGTGGGACCGGGACGGCGGAAGTCAAGTAAAGCATCAACCACAGCGGCAGATAGGATAGCCGGATAGCCTACAAAGGCTCGGCCCCACACGACAAGCGGTCTCTTTGCCAGGTTGAGAGGAAACCGTGAACGTGTGTGTGTGTGTACCACCCTGAGACCAAGGAACCATGCATGTCAAAAATGGAGGGGGCGCAAGGGACGTTGCAAGTCTTGCGCCAACGAAGACACTTGCAGTGATGGGAGTTGTGACGCCAACTCCTGTACTTGTTGCACCCATCCAAGCTGCTGCTTCGTTCTTCGCCAATCAGTATGTTGTGCAGACATGTGATTGAAGAAATCAAACTAGCTTGCTCATAGTGAGGGTCATTCCGTGTGTGTTTGTGTGTGTGTGTGTGTGTTTGTGCGAGTGAGTGAGAGTGTGTGTGTGTGTGCGTGTGTGCGTGTGTATACGCGTGTGCCAACATGTTGCAGAAAGAGGACCAGAAAACGTTCTCGAAGCTCGGATGCTGACATTCCAGGCACGCACCGAACTATAGTTGACATCCTGTCACGAGATCGTGCGAGTTACGAGGCTTTCTTGCCGACCGCAGGCTTCAGCGAATCGCGGAGTCACCGTTCGGCTGAGAAGCGACATCTGCTTCAGCCACCTCACCCAGCCGCTCGACAGAGAGTTGTGCGGATGGTTGCGGAGATTTCAGAAGCTGGCCCAGCAGGATTCCGGACTCCTCCTGCAAGCAGCTACCCGACCGTCACCCTCACGGTTATTGGACACACGACTGGGACACCTCGCCCTTGAAGGGAAGCATGTTTCAAGCCTACTTGCAGCGGCAGGTGCGAAACCTCACATCGACTATTCCATGTCTGGAATTCTCAAGAGTCTCTGAGCATGTGGTGCCATCTCCAACCGGCAGGCTGCATCTCCTGGAAGCGCGAAAACGGAAACTCGACTCTTTCTGTACGATGGGATCTTTGCAGCGGGTCTGGCCGATTTCTTCTTGGCGGAATGGGGGGCGAAGGCACGCTGGACTTGCTCCATGCACGGCTGTCTCGCGTGCCATGACGAAAGGAATCTCGGGGCCAGTCACGACCACCAAAGATTTTGATCCTGGGGGCTGGACGTGGGGCTTTGGCAGACGCCTGGTTTTGAATGTAAGGGTCAAGGAAGCGACGGCCAGTGCCAAGGCGTGCCTGCGTGCTTCTCTTCTCTCGCAATGCGATGCGTGCTTTCAAGCTGAGGAACAGCTGGCACGCTGGGGCTTGCCAGCAGTGGCCATAGATGGCATCCTGGCATACACTGTTGGCGGATAGCGAGATGGTCGCCTCCTCCGCTCAACAGTGCACCAAGCCTAAGGAAACTGCATGGTGGAGTTCACTGCTGAACATCGCGGACTGTGTGCCGATGTTGTGCATCCTCGTGGCCTGGGTGCGTGGGCAGAGGCAGCATGTCTTGGGGCCGAGGTGGGAGGTAGCTCCCAATCCAGTATGTCTTGCCGACCAAAGCTGGCCGTTGCAGTCATTGGTGCCACCGGCTCCTCGAGTTGATCCAGAATTGAAGGCGGCGTAGCTGCGTAGCTCCCGTGCCCAATCACATTTCAAGCCTGTGAGAGACCAGGTTCTCGGCTCAAAGGAGACGAAGGTCTGGTGCCACTGGTTGCAAGGTGTTTCGAAGAGCGACTGGGCACTGGTGGCTTGGTGTTCATTGGCCGACCTTCCGCCACGGTGTGTGCTAGGGCCGACCTAGCCGAGGCTCTCAATCTCCTTCCGGAGATCCCTCGCCACTTGCTGCCAAGGCCTGCCATGCAGACTCGGACATTTCAAACCTGAGCAGCGCACTCCGCAGAGGCTCGCAAGGACGCTCAGCCTGGGCCTGGAGGGCGTCATTCTGACCATGCCGATTGGCAGGTTGGCAGCTTGACCATGGCTTTCCGCTAGATGTGTGTTCACGCTGGCGCTTCGTCTAGTTTGAGCAGTGTTCGGGTAATTTCGTCATGATGATGCGATGCGATATCTTTGTATATGTCGGAGTATGCATGCCTCTCGGATGTTTGCACACACACACACACACACGCACACCCCGAAAGCTGTAGCAGAGCGACAGAGAGAAAAGGAGGATGACCTGCGTCAGATCGAGAAGTGAGTCGATAACAACGCGCAAGCAACATATCGCGGGGAGAGATGGGGATTTGAAAGAGCAGCTGAGAGTATGACGGCCCGGCAGAGACGTATGTTGGGAGGGTCATTGCTCAGCCATTGCTCGAAAACCTCGACGATGGGAGCGCGACTGAAAGGGCCCGGGGTGTTTTTCACACTCCCCAGACCTTGCCAGAACGAAGAAACTGCCCCGCACGACGGAGTGTCGTCGTCGTTGCAGAGGTATCGTTGTTGCACAAACGTATTCGCCCGAGATCCCGGGCGATCGGCTGCGGTGGCCGGCTGGCAGACCCCATAATCACAAAAGCAAGACAAGAAGAAGAGACAGAGAGAGGCATTCCTTGTGCTGATGCAAGGTTCCCCATGTGTGCCTTGAGCTGCTGGTGCCTAGAGGCCTAGATGATGAAGTCGATGATGAAGTCGTGTTGCAGAGGATCAGACGACCACGATGCAGTGCAGTCCGCATTATCAGGTTCTGGTTTCTGATGTCGCTTTGATTCGCGGTTCTTTCGAAATGATATGCAAGACTAGCTCGATGAAGATTCTGCCAGTAACTTCTGTCGAGAGGCCGTTGCAAGATGCAAAACGACGGGATCTCGTTCGAGCTCTTCGCCATCGAGGCCTATACCTGATCTTGTTTGAGAGCAGAGATAATATGATCGGTGCAAGGTTACGAGGTTGACAGGGATGCCAGCCGTGGGCCTACTGAGGCTCAGGTCGTTGAAATGGTTAGAGGAAAACGTGCATTTGCATGGCATTACATGGGGGTTGTTTTCTAAGGCCGCCACCTTGGAGCTCTTGGAGGATTGCTTTGTTGCCCATGGAATGCAAACGCAATTGTCCTGAGGAGGAGGCCCTGTCAGCATTGTGGATGCGCTAAGCTCATTGTAATCGGAGTGGTATGTTACTTCAGCAGTCGTCCAAACCTTACACCCTATTCATCAACAATAATAACAATAATAATACCAAGAAGAATTAATAATATTAGTAATGCTAATACTAAAACAAATTCGAACACGAATGCTCATGCTAATACCCATACTAAGACTAATACTCATGTGGTGCCAGGCGGAAGGAGACAGCGTGCTCTGCTCGCGTGATCCAGCAGCTGAAGGGCAGTCTGCCCTGCGTTTTGCACCAGAACTACGGCTGTGTGCATAGTGGTGTTTGGGATGCTCGGCTTGGAGTTGGGGGTTTAGGGTTTGGGGTTTAGGGTCTAGGGTGTAGAGGAGTATCCAGAAGATGCCAGAAGTGAAGGTGTCCCAAAGCCCAGGTTCACTTTGGGTGCCGCGGCTACTTCACGAACGGCGGTCATGGTTCAACCCTCTGCTCAAGTCCCCTTTCCGAATACGCCGAGTGCCCTTGGCAAGGCCAGGGCCAGGCAGGAGCCCAGCTCCGCTGACATTGCTGCCTGCGAAATCTGCGAGGAGCGAAGACGGAGCTTCCCCGCAAGCAGAGGCTCAGATCTGCGCATCGTCCGGCAGCATTGGTTGCGCGGGCGCTTTTCCGTTCGGACATGGCTCACGCAGACAAGGCCGCTCGGCGGCACTCGATTTGCAACCTGCAACCAGCAGCTTCTCCTTACACTCCGCTTGCAGTATCTGTCAGTATGATGCTGCAATGTAGTGAGCCCGTGACCCGTGGTGCTGCATCTCAGTGGAGCTCCCTAAGGTTGCCAATGCAAGTGTCTCCTCTCACTGGTACACTCGGCTCTTTGGGCTGCCTCTGGGTGGACTCTACGAGGCGATGGATCCCCTCAGCTTCGGCGCAGGCTGGTCCCGTTTGTTTTGGAATCTAGCACACAGACCGAGGTCTTGCAGTTCTTGAAAAGTCTTGTCTTTACTTCCTGCAGGTGTGTGGCCAGACTCTGTCCAAGAAAGGCTCTTTCTCGTTGCCGCCCTTCGGGCCCTGAAGCTTGCGACAGGCAGGAAATGCCGGAGTGCGGCCTCGTTTTGATGCCGCGCACTCGCAGGTCCCTTCGTTGGCCATGGCTTGGTTCGTGCCAGTACCAGAATCGGCCGAAGTCATCGAGCACTCACAAAAGCGCTCAGCATGCTCGAGATCAAGGCGAAGCTTTCAGGACCGACTGGTCAGGTCTTCAGGTCTTGAACACTCGTCCTGATGCACTCATGTTCCACAAGACATTCACGGAGAAACGAAATTGCGGCGGATTTGCGACGCATTGCTGACCCTTTCAGGACCTGCGGAACGGCAGTGTGCTTCCCTGATGCTCGAGTGCTTGCGCGTGCCATGCTTCGCACTTGTTTTGGAGGGTACCCTCACCTCTCGGTGCCTGTGAGCATCTGTGCGAAACATGCATCGGCTCGGGAAATTTTGTAAAGCGGTTCTGCGCTCGCAACAACTCACGGAACTATCCTGCTCTGTTGCACTGCAAATCGCGGTCGTGTGATTTCTAGATATCGCAGTGGCATTGAGATCCGGGGAGCCTAAGTTGGGTGTTCTCTCACAAAACAGACTGAGGTGATTGCTGATCTGAACCATGCTGGCTTGCACAGCATGTCTCAACAAGGTGCTTCCCGGATGTTTGGCAACTCGTTGCGTGTGCAATCAGTGTGTGGTCTCAAGCAGTGCGCTTTTGGCGCCATGTTTTCCAGCGAAGGCCACGTAGATGCCCAGACGCAGTGGACCATTCCAAAGCTGATCTTGGCAACCCGGCAGCACCAAACGGGATGCAACGCTTCATCGGTCATCGGCAGCAGGAGTAATGGTCCAGCACATCTAGTAGCGACCCGAGAGAATCTCAGAATTCACCAACATCCCACAAGGGCCATGAAGCTCACAGCCCCACTCCAACCACCCGCGCCACTTAGACCTTGGAGAAGCTGATGGAAGCAGCGCCAGGGAAGAAGCTTGCGTGGTTCGAGCGGTTGGGTGGGACTTGGCACCTTCGTGTCGACTCTGAAGATCCGTGGGGACGCCACTTAGCAACAAGCTGTGCGCACATGAAGCACGGAGCCTGGCAGTCTGACAGCCTGAAGGCTATGTCTACAAATTCGCGTATCAAGCGGCGCATTGATCGCTATTCTGGACATTTCTGGAAAACATCAGAGAGCCCTCGTCTTATTTGACTTGATTCCTACCTCGCTCCAAGATCCCAGTCCTGTGAGCATCCCGAGGCATTTGGCGCATTTTTGTGCAATGCTTGAAACTTCACGTCGCGTGATGAGTACTGGACCGACAGAGTGGGTGTGCTTCGCGACCAAAAGCCACAGCATCAGTGTCTGGCACGACATGGCTGATGGCCTAGTGCCCGGTCGAGCGCTTCGGGCGTGTGGTCAGGGCGTATTTCGAGAAGAAAGACGTAGTACCAGGACTTCTGGGCCAATTGGAGCAGAGTTGGAACGAGTCTACCAACGTGGCAGCACATGTTGAGCATATGTTGTGTTCATCAGAGCACATAGCTTGTAGTTCTCAGGCCTGAGAATCATGAAGCGGTCGCATTCTGGTTCAAGAACGACCCAAGTGCTGACGCAGTCGAGCAACCTCACGAGCACAAAACACAACCACACCCGGATCTTCATTACTTGACCCTGAAACCAAGAGCAGTCCAACGCTATCACTGCCGTTCAAGTGCTTGCTTCGTGCTCCGCCGAGATGGCAGAAGCAGCAAGCACCGAAGAGGATGCCTTCCGTTGCAATGTACACACTGCAGCCTGCTTTCTGCTAGTCTTACAGGCAATTTCAGACTTGTGGCCCGCTGCCCGACGCATTCGCAGTAAACCGTGACAAGGGATCCCAACATTGTGGCAAACGGCTCTCCTAGAGGTTTAAGCGCAAGTTGCAGATGCATGTGACACTTGCAGAGCAACAGCTGTTAGTATCTAGTCGTAACTGCATAATGTGGAACATGGTGCTGCGCAGTGTCACTGATCCGTCTGAGGATGTTGGCAATGTTGGTATCCGTTTTGTACATGATTGAAGAAATGCGAGACCACGGCAGGCTCGTGATCAGCTTGACCAGCCCGATCAAGCTGAAGAGCCTGAAGCCGAGGAGGCAGACGGAAGAATTCTATTCACGGGTTTATCGCCTGCGCTTCTCCTGCACTTGCAAAAGACGCTGCGGCCGCGCTTCACAATTCTGTGCAGGCTTTGATGGACGTAAAAGAGGAAGAGGCCAGCGGACTAATGTGCAATTACGATAAAAGTGCCGGTGCATAATGTCCCACGAGGGCCGTCACAGGTGGTGTTCCACTGCCAGCACCGCCAACCAAACGAAATCACGAAGCAAATGCATTGCAGAAGATTGCAGTAGCTTTTTCAAGTAGAGAAGTCGAAGGCACTCAGCTTCAAGTTTAACCCCTGGACATGTCGAATAACATGCGATAGCCATGCTACAGAATGCCCCGCCCGAATAAGGGGGCAACTGGCAACGGAAATGAACTGATGAGGACCACCGGCTATCATATCTATCGGCTTAGTATTGCTGATGGGAATACTGGTGGCGGGTGGTAGTCGCGGTAGCACTCTAGAACCAACAGCGGCAGCTTCGGCAGCAGATGCGACCACGAGCGCCAGCCGCAGCCAAAAATTCCTGACGCCGTCGTGGTCGACTCCTACTATGACCAGACCTCGGCCATTCCCGGCGACGACGGCGACAACGACTTGTTGCGACTGTTCACAGGGCTCGGAGTGCGATGATAAACTCTGACCGTCGATGAACCGCGGTCAGGTCGAAGCAGGCGGTGACGTTGATGCGGATGCCGTGGACTACGACAGCAATGACCAGGCCGCGAGCACAGAGAGCGGGAGTGAGAGCAGAGACTTCGGAGACTGATGCTTCGGTGATGAAGAATAAGACACGACCAAGATAGTGCCCCGTTTTTTGTCGAGGAGGGTACTATGACGGCCATGCTACATTGCAAGAGCTGCAGCTGAAGTCGCCAGGGCAATCTGGAACACCGCGAGGATGCCGACTTCACAGCTCCGAGCGCGCTGCAAGAGGATCTGCCCTGCTTGCGTTAAACTGATCTATTCTGGGTAGAGTGAACTGAGAGATGAAACCAGCCAGGAGCACACAGAAAGCCAGCACGGTCTCGGGACTCAGCGTTGAAGATGAGACTTCGAGAGTCGTTAAGGATCTGTTGAGGGCTGCTCCTTCAGGTCCATCTGGCAGTCAGCGCCGTTCTCAGACTGGGTTTTAGGCTGCTGTGAGGCTCCATGTCCCGAACCTCAGGGCAGAAGAGGAGAACGACACCGGTGGCAGATCCCATTTCGAGAGCAATGAGCTGCCAGCCGCTGCTTGACTTCACCGAGTGATCGTCTTCAGTGCGACTTCACATGCGAGCAAGCAGAGTTTCGTCAGCACTGTGAATCGTTCAGTGTCTTTTTAATGCCTGTCGTGTGTCAGGAAGATGGACCCATGAAGGCTTGCTGCTGCAAGCAGACGGCTTTTCGCAGCGATGCGTTTCTGCGACAGTCGTGTGCCATTCCCTCACTGGCAGCTCGTGTTCACTCGCGCTCGCAGGTTCTCGATCTGTCAGGGAGACCCATGAAGAAGCTGTCAGATGTTCAGTGGTACTTGGGACAGGAGCGCCGCGAAATGTAAACCTGTGACCTGCTGTTTGGTGAATGTTGTGCGCTGCATCACTGGGCGAGTTGGCAGTGGATTTGGGAAGCTTGACCTGCGAATGCAAGTCCGTGATGTCGAGAGCCCGGTGTGAAATCAGGAACAAGCGAAGGAGAACGGTGCACTTGGCAGCAAGAAGATACTTCAGCCAATGCCCTGCTTTGGGCACATCTGTGCATGTCGGACTGTCGGAGGTCTCTATGACTTCACAGAGGTGAACCTGGCAAAGTGCAAGCTCGAGGGTGATGCAGCTCGGGAAGTGGCGAAATTCTGCCAGAAGTGCCCGGCCCTGAAGATCCTGAAGCTACATCACAATGGCATTGATGATGCAGTGGTCGAAGACGACCTCATGCACATCTTCAAGCACTGCCCTCGTCTGTGGGAGGTCCATTTGAGCCATAACTGGATCACAGAGCAGGGTGGCTGGCTCTTGGTCCGAGAGGCATCCGCGCACCTGCCGGAGAAACATTCGCGGCCACTATGGCTCCGTATGGAGCACAACTTCAAGGGCGCATCGGAAATTGCACGTCGCTGCCGCGATGGCGAGCTTTCAGTGTGCTTTCGTGAAGATGGAAGACGCTGCACAAATCGGTATTGCAAGCATGGTGCACGGATCCACTTGCCATTCCTGCTGGATGACAACAAGGACTGGAAAAACAACGGCACATCGTGGAGCCCCTGGCAGTCCGCCAGCTACGAGTACCGCGACCGATACAAGCACGACCAGAACGATTATGGCAAGAATGGTTACACTGGTAGTGCTTACGGGAGCAATGGTTATGGCAGCAACCACAATGACAGGAACGGCTATGATCACAGGGGCTACAACAAAGATCCTGGATATGGTCGTTTCGGCAGCAACGGCTACGACGAAGCAGCTGCTGGAAGAGACTACAGAAGCCATCGTACCATCACACAAGATCGTACCCGTTCCGACAGATACCATTCCCACGAGGAGTTCCGAGAGGGCAGACGGCGTGACTCGCGGAGCCGTACCCCTCCACCAAAGGTGCGACTCACCGAGCGATCCGAGCGTTTCTCTCCCCCACCTCGGCGTTTTCCAAGTGTTCGTAACGTCCGTGAAGTCACCCGGGTGCCGAGCCCTCCCGGCCCCCCACGGAGACGACAGGCTCAGGCCCCCCCAGCTCGAAGAACAGAACCATTTCCCCCACGCAAGGCGCCAACCCCGCCTAGGCCGAGAAGGCAGCCTAGACAGCAGCCTCAACAGCAGCCTCGGCAGCAGCCTCTTCGGCAGCCGCAGCCTCGGCAGCAGCAGCCTCGGCAGCAGCAGCCCCGGCAGCCGCTTCGAGCTCCACGCCGTCTTTCTCCCATCCGTGAGCCTCCGAATTATCAGCGCCCGGCCAAGCGAAACCGACACGCACCGCTGCAAGCTCCCCCGGCTCCGCTGCCCCGGAATCTCGGCAACCTTCCACAGGTTCGGAAGCCTCCCTCCCCGCCTCAACGTCCGGGTCCCAAGCTCCCCCTTCACAAGCCTGCAGAAGAAGAGCAGTCTTCGAGCTACGAGTACTACAGCGACGAGGACGAGTACAGCTATGACGACGATCCCGTACCCCTTGGTCGACATCCGCTCTGCCGAATCCACAAGTGACCAGGGCAGTGGCCTTTTTCGAGAGCCAGTCCAGTTACAGAAAAACCAGGCATGAAGGCGAGTAAGCCGACAATTATCAGGGAAGCCAGTGGCGGGTTCACCCCAATCGCTCTCCTAGGTGACAACCAACCCCGAACCCCAGAGTGCCTTGAATCTCACGAGGGACTTTTGTCTGCTCCCACGCGAAGCTTCGACAGCGTGTATGCGCAGCTGTGGCTCGAACTTACAAACCGAGACTTGTGCTTTTTCTGAGTGCTAAACGGGTGATGTCGTTTGTTCCCAGGCTGGTCGATGTCGGCCCACTTCAGGCCCCCATCCCCAAGCAAGACCCAGCAGAGCTTCAGCAACTCTGGAGATGTCGCAACAGAACCCTACAATGTTGTAGCCGTGAAGGACTCCTCGAGCCACTGGAACAATTGCCAGCATTCCCTACATAAGCCGCAATGGCATCGCCTGGCCGAATGTCCAGCCGGCCATCGCGCCTCGACATGCTCCGGCGAGGAGTCTACGACGAAGTCTGCATGTCTCATGTCGGTACACTTTCGCTGCGAGCTGGAAGGAGTTCCAGAGGATTATGTGGACGCGCTGCTCGACGAGAGCTACATGCAGCAACTCATCGTCGCCTCCACAGATTCGGCTGTAAGTCTTATTGTGTCTTCCATCGGTCCCGCCTGCAGCTTTAGGGCTTCAGGGGATGTCTTGGGAATCCCAGGTTGCCACCGGCAAGCAGCATCGGAAAAGACAGCGGCAACGAGATCGCCAGAATCGGCTCCAAAACGTGCCTTGCCCGACACATTTCCTGACCCACCGTGTTATCAGTAGCTGTTGCAATGCCAGCACATGTGCTGCAAAGGGCCTTGCAAACATTCCAGGTCATCCTGACCTGCCTCATCTGCCAGGCTCTTTCCGCAACCATCGGGAGTCCCCAAAAGATTCTCGAAGAGACCACGAATTCAGCCAGTTCTGAGGGAGACATGCCCGGCCATGGGCCATGTTCTTTCCCGTGTCGCCTGGTGCAGGCTGTTTTGGGAGTTTGGGCCAGATGCTCAGCAGCCGAGAGCAAAGCTTGACCTCCTGAGCGTACACCTGAGTGCGAAGCTGAATCTAGTTCCTGGCACACCCGTTGACATGCCCTGTCATCAGAGTTGATACTCTGCCACTCTGTGGTGTGACAAGGTTGCATTGTACAAGACATTCCTGCAGCCGGACACAATCATCAGTGCGTTTGTCACGATGGAGAACATAGACATGGCGCGGGCCTGTGGTTTGTAGAAATTTCGATCGTTCGATCAGGACATTTGCGTATGAGTGTTGTGCATTTCGGAGTCGGCATCCCGGTGTCGCGAATTCCTGTGCTTGTCGCGAATTCCTGTGCTCAACCAGACTATCACGTCCATCGCCAAAGCCAGTGCAGGGGTGCCGTTGTCTGCCTGAAGACTTGAAGGTGCTGATGATGGACACGTCGAACCACATGAAAGAGCGACGAGATCAGCAGCACCAGGCCAAGTTTGGAGGGTGGCCGAGCTGACGTTTCCTTCCTTTGGCGTTTCCTATTGATGGATGTCGGCCATCAGTATGCCAGGTTGTGAAGTCCTTTTCGCAAGACATGCATCAGGCAGGATGCCCAGGTTTTGTGCGCAGACAGGTCCAGAGTGCATCAGTTGTTGCGACAGTCGCATGACCATGCCTCTTGACATTCTGGCGACATTTTGTTCTCATTCAAGCTGGGTAGCGACAGTTGCCGGAGTCTCGAGGCTATGCAAAGACAACGAGAAGGAACTCTGCAACAGCTTGTGGAGCGAGTGGAGGCGTGGCTCCTACTGACAGCGGACATTGTCTTGCTTGACATTCCCGGCTTCTGATGATAGTGCTGTGCAAGAATTCATCTTGATAGCCCTCGAAACCTGCCCCGCCAGGAACTGAAGTTGAACTCGTCCACCGCTTTCAGCAGATTTCTTGGCAACATCTTCAGTACCAACAAGCCGCAGGCAGATCAAATGCCAGGGCTGCAGTCTGGGACTGAAGCACCATGCAATCTGAATCGCCACTTCCGAAAGTCATGCAGTTCATCCCGCAAACATCCGCGTTGCTTGCCAATATCTCAGAAGACATGTGCAGCAAAGCCAGCGGCTCGCATTTTCTGCTTTGGTTTGTCTTAGCTTCCCGTCTAAGTCCGCGGGCCGGAGATGCTTACGATGTTCCTGGCAGCATAAACTAGTTACGATGCCAGGCACTGGAGCAGATCACTAAGCATGTCTAAGCACGTACGGCCTGACGAGACGTGTTTAAGCAGTCTATCCCAGTTGAATGGAAGGACCACACCGGCCTGTCCGGCGGAAGGCCTCCAGCATTCCCGCTGGTCTCAACCAGATGCTTCATGCCTCGACTGCAGAGCGCTCTCTGAGAAGAGCCAGGGCGCTAGGGCGGCGTTGTTTCTTCGGATGCAAAAACCCATGAAAAACCCGGAGGCCGAGCTTTTTTCTGGCAAAGCCGGAGACGTGCTCACTCTGCCAGGCTACGGTTTTCCACGGGCATCTTCAACAGGCCGAATCCGAGTGATTCCTTCGTGTTCCCTGTTGGGGGGGGTTCCCTTTTGGGAGGAAGTCAGGGGCTGATGTCTTGCTGCGACATCTTGCTTTTCCGGACGTTTTCGAAGCTTTAATAAAGAGCTCCAGGTATGGGAACCCAGCTCCTAAACCTTAAAAACAGCTCTGGTTAGGCAGGGTATGCCTGAAGATGCGGTTTGTCTAATTGTTGAGAATGCCGTCGCAATTCTCCAGCTTTGGCTCAGATCTGCTCTTTGCTGCTCCCTGCTTTCCACGGTTAGCCGCCTTCATCAGGGCTAAAACAGTTCGACATCAATTACTGGCACCGGTAGCCAATCATTCATATTCAATCAGTGACCACGGGTAGCTTGAGCGGCGATTCTGGCCCGTGCCATTGCTCCTTGAGCCAGCGACCAAGCACTAAGCCTAAACTGCCAAAGACTTGAAGTCCCTCAACCAAGTCTGAATTTGCGCGATGCTGAGGCCCGGCATTTGCTGGTGGGCATGACGGCCAAAAAAGCTTCAAGCGTAAAGACATCGAAGGTACACGGATTTGCAGCTGCATTCAAGGCTTAGAAGTGTAGCCGTGTAGCCCTAGAAGTAGCAGGGAGTATCGTACCGTGTTAGGTACCAAACAGAGATCGCTCTCGCTACGAAGATCAATTTGTGAAGACAAAGCTTTGCTCTTTCTATGACGCTCGGCTTTCTTAGCCCGGAAAGGCCGGTGAATGTCAGCGCTTATTTTGGGGTTTTAGGGTTCAGGCTTAGGGTTTAGGGTTTAGGAACCCCGCACATCTACAGACCCCCTAGCACTTCCGGCGATGGCCGAGGAGAAAGGCAAATGCACCCGCGGAGCTCAGTGCCGCGAGCTTAGCCATTCACATGCTCGGTACTGGCATGCTGATGCCATATTTCCTATTGCTTAACTCCGACTGCTGTATTCCGCAAATTTGCTAAGGGCACCCCGGTAGACGACCTAGAGGGCCATCTAAGTGCAAATCTTGAATCTGCTTGCTGGTGCAAAGCTTGGGCGAAGGCAAAGGACATGTCAAAGGATGAGCGAAATCACAGTCCAGCCGCCGACTGTCCGAGGCACCTTTGCACATGGAAGCTTCGAGCTACAACAACTTCCAGATCTCACCAAGACATCACTTTGCCCTGCCTTAATGCAATTTGGGGCTGCTCGGCCAAACGTTTCCACTTCGAATCACCGACGAGGGTGTAGGACAAAATCGCCGTGCAGTCTTGTGCAACGATCTTGTCGAGAAGCTGCAGGGGTCATCGGCTATTAGTACGTGGTCGCAAGAAAACGAAGGTATATGCCAGTGTTTGACTGACCACGAAGGCTTGCGACGATGGCGCTTGCCTCTTTGCGCAACTCCTCCTGCAGCATGAGGTTTGGCAGGATCACGCAGTGCTTTGCATGTTTAAGTGTGTCTTGCGGGGTGAGGTTCAGAGTCAAGGGTTGTGGTTGTAGGTGGACATGCAAGTGTGTTCAGGCAGAAAGGGTTCAGACTATTGTTGGACAGGCAATTCGCAGGTGCCATGAAGTTTGACATTATAGTCCATGAGAGTCTTCTTGACTTTTAACCCTCCCATCAAATGCCTGACTCAAGTCTTGAAGTCCCAGTCTCGAGCAGTTTGGTCCCAGGCATGGTGTCGAAGAGCTGCGTGCCACGACGAAGATCCTTGGAGGAATCTAGAAGCACAGCAAGAGTGCGATCCTATAAGTTCGTTGATGCAGGGTTTCTGGGAACAGTGCTGCATGGGAAAAGGTGGATTAGGGAAGCGCAGGGTCTTTCCCCAAACCCTAAGAAACTTGTGCAGTGCGCCTTCGATCTTGTCGCCAAGGTTCTACAAGACTTCGATGTGATTCTTGTCTGCACGCGCTGCAACAAACATGACGGGGCCTATGACCCCGGGCTGAATGGTTCTGATGCTGTTGCTGCGGTTAGGTAAATTTCACCTGATGCGACAATGCCGAATGGGGGCCTCCTGCCGGAGCCCCGAAGGGATTTGTCGTTTTTGTGGCGCCAGCAGCGACTCGGAGTCGAAGTTGCTGGGGTCACGCCTAGGCCGACATGCTCACGATGAGTCAGAGCTCCGCATGGATCTCCGTGTCAAGCTGGCAGAGGACTGCAGAAGTCGGTGGCAGAGCACCAAAGTGCAGTCAAACGCTGTTTACATAAAGTTTGCTGTTGGGAGCAAGGACCCTTCACTGTCTTCTCTCTTCGATGGGGCCGATTCTGTATACAGGCGGTGCCCTTGTGCGAGCTGCCCAAGCGATCCAAAGCGTAACCTCACAGACTTCCAGGCAAGATTCGTCCATCTCGTCCGCATCCTGCCCGGCTAATACTTTCAGACAGCCGACCGTGGACCTGGATCAGGCCGGGGTACAAGCAGCGCAGTTTTCCAGACCTTGTCCTGTGTGATATGCACGGGAGGATGATGTGGAACCTGCGGGATGGCCGTTATGGTTGGCAGAATCAGCGAGGCGCCGCATGTGATCTCGGCTTGTTTCGGAAACGTTCCAGCCATGCTCTTGCAAAATTCGGGTTCGGGGTCCAGGGATGATTGAATGCCTTGTAGGGTAGCTGCGCAAGTCTGCCGACACCAGGCCCGTTGCGTGTCCCCGGCAGTACTTCCAGCAGCTCGGCACCTCCAATTCACGAGTTGTTTCTTTGCATGGTCGGTCTCAGCTTGTGTGTGAGGCCGAGCTGCTTGATGGATTTTCCCTGGCAGAATGAGACATGCGAGTTGGTCGGCCGCACATGTCAGTGGCTTTAGTGCGACGCAGCAGCGAGAGTATAAGCGGGTGCCGCATGCACGGGATGCCCGGGGGTCGATCTTTTGCCCCAAAGTCACCCAGTAATTTCTCTTTCTGGTGAATCTGGCCAACATTTGCAGCTCTCGTTTTCGCACTTGCCGAGTCACTCAGCTAGTTGCATTGTGCGATAGCTCGCGAGGTCACAGAAAGAGTCATCCCGGCTGTCGCCTCCATGGGTGTCTGACTTTGCGAAGCACCCGGTTGGCAATTGATTTCCTGGCTTGAGTGGTGCTTACGGGTCCACTTGAACGTGCTTGGACTACAAAAGCTACCTGCCCCAGACATCAATACCAACTATGACGTCATACACCGACCTCGTCTTGAGTTCAGCTGCATGTAACTGCACTCGCCTTGGGCGGCAAGGAAAGTGGATGATAATTCGTAAGGAGAACGAGTTCATGGAATCCACCAGAGCATGTTTGTTTGATGAAGACAGTCTGTCGAGCGATCGAGTGATCCATTTAGAATTGCTTCCAGGATGCCAGCGCGCAACGTTCTGTGTGGATCCTCGCAAAAGCAAGCCTTCGAGTGGCAGAGCTGCATCTGCGGGATTCGTTTGAAGCTTCAGGCTGACGTGCTTGAGTCGAGAGGGAGCACTCTCAAGTGCGACGTAGGCTCTCAGAGGACTCTGCTGGCCATTGGAGCATCCCAGGCTGGAGCAAAGATTTGATGGACCTCCTGGCCTTCTGAGAGGTTCTCTGATGGACATCACCATCAGCCTATAGGCCGGTTCGGTGAATGGAATGCAATCCAGCTCAGAGCGCAGTGAAGAGCACAACTTGAGGTCGTTGGGCTTTCCTGCCCTACCACAGTCTGCTGACTTGCCATTTGGTGACGTCGTGTTGCGATTTAGCTGTTTCGAAATTTTACTTGGCCCGAGTATACCTGCGTTGTGCACCGGGTACTGTAGAGCAATGCTGCAAGCAGGATGTTGGTACCGTGTCAGCTGGAGTGACACTGCTTTGATCTGAGGTTGTTGTTCAGCTAAACCAATCCACAGACAAAGTTATCGTCGTGGTGAGCGTACGAAACGTTACCAATTTAAATTGGTCCGTTCCGGATCCGGCACAATAGCACGGTTCTCATGAACTTAACACGTCGAAGCACGAAGCTAAGATGTCCAGCATGCCTTCAGCTGTCAGCCAATCTGCTTTGCGTAGCAGCGAGACTTGCTTTGATCTTGTTGCTAACGAGACGAAGCTCAGCTTTATTTGAAGCTTCTACACCTGGATTCTCGCTCCTGGAGCGGAGCTATCCTGATTAAAACCGCGAGCTGTGCATAAAAAGCACCGACTCAGCGCCTCAGACCTTGAACGGATTTCTACGGTGCTGAATCCTCGCGTCCGCAATCTTCTGAATGGTGGGACCTGCCCCAGCCAACCAAGCGCTCACGTCCTCGCGGACTGTGAAAGCGAAGTTACACATACATTACTACTACTACTACTACTACTACTACCACCACTACTACTACTACTACTACTACTACTACTACTACTACTACTGCTACTACTATCCGTCCATCCACCCATCCATGTGGCAAATCCATAGTAATTATGCAGGACTCTGTCTGTGTGTGTGTGTGGGTATGTGATTTACAAACAGCGATGGCAATCGCAATAGCAGTAGGAATAGCAAGCGCAACAGCAACAGTAAAGTGCTAGTTATAGTCATTTGGCCACAGTGATAATGACAGTCACAGTGATAATGACAGTAGTAGAAACAGTCTTTGCCAATGATAGTGACAATGATCGTGGTGCTGTTATTGATACTAGTAGTGCTTGAAATAACGTTGCCAAGTAAGTGAAGCAGATGTACATACATACATACATACATACATACATACATACATACATACCTACACGTACTGGCGTACTTATATGCATACATACATACATACGTACATGCATACATACATGCATACATACATATTTACGTTGTTGCTATGCTACGTTTATTCTACTGTTTAAGCACATGTATATACACACATATGTTAGCAACTAATGTTCATGTATGTGTGGGAGAAACTATGTGCGTATTTTGGTCGAACCTATCTATCTATCTATCTATCTATCTATCTATCTATCTCTATTGCTTGTCTACCTATCTGCCTACCTACCTACGTACCTACTCCTGCCTGCCTACCTACCTACCTCACCTGCCTTACCTACCTTACCTGTCTTACCTACCTTGCCTACCTTACCCACCTTCCTACCTACCCACCTAGCTAGAGTTAGCCAGCTATCTATCTGTGAGTATGCGTCTGTCTGTGTAGTGGTAGGCTGCGTACATGTTGATTCATGCATGTATGTATGTATGTATGTATGTATGTATGTATGTATGTGTGTATCCATCCATCCATCCATCCATCCATCCACCCACCCACCATCCATCCATCCATCCATCC